ATTTAAGTGAATTCCCCTTTAGCGCGTACAAACAATTTTTACTGCTCAAAGCAAATGTGAATAGGACTAATTTAGGGGAATTCCCTTTATGTGCATATGTATATTACTTTTCAGATTAGAGCGCATATCTTTTTTTATCATTAATTACTATGCTTGTGAAAACTAGCATTATATATTTGATTTAATAAAAAAAACATGAATTCTTGTTCTTAAAAATTCTTGTTTTTCACTAATTTTAATAAGTTTTAGAGATTAGGAACAAATCACCCATTTTTGTATAAGATCAATGTCTTTTTTTACACGGCTTCTTCTGGAACCAATCTACCGTGTAAAAACAGACTTAGGTGTAATTATGTTCTATTTTATATTTGAAGATAAACATTCATTACTATGAAGTTGTCTTTTATCACTGCTTGACTCATACCTACCAAAGATAGAAATTAATCTAAACTTGCAGTATAGATTTACAATCAGATATATTGAAAAGTCATGTACTGAATCAAATATACTTACTTATGAGAGAATATATATTGATAGCAATCTAGTATTTTCTAGGACTATTTACATGTTTAATTTCTTTTTTACAACAATATGATAATTAAAAAGTAAATCTTAATAATTATAAACATCACTTTATACCTGTTATGTGTTTTAATATTTCATAAACCCGTTCTGCAGTTATTATTATCTTTTTATCTTGTGTGTCTTCATTAGCGTGTTTCCATTCTGCTGTCAGATCTAACCCTTGCCGCCTGATAGAGGGTTGGTAATGACCACAACCCCCATGTCCTGTGCCCCTTTTGCCTTCTTCCCCTTCTTTACCAATATCCATATCTTCTCCACCCTCACAAATATTTTTACCCTTGCAAAGGTCATATACATAAGTCAACCTTTTACGTGGTTGACCTTTAGATTTCATGACCACTTCTTTGATTTTTGGATTTGTCTGAAAATATGAGAATATGCAATTACTTAAATGTCAATTAATATATTTTTAGATTTATAAGTCGTATTTAAACAATTGTACAACTTACAGGACTGACAAGTAATTTTGAGCAATAAAAACAAACACATCTTAATACTTTAATTGTTTTTGTAATAAACCCAATATGAAATACTGGTTTGGCTAAGTCAATGTGGCCAAAGTGTCCAGGGCATTCTGTCATATTTCCAGCGCAAGTTTGGCATCGAGAACTTCTGTCTATCACCCCTTGTCGAGGATCCATAAGCCCCCCAAGTTTGGGCCTTCCACCTTCCATTGTTTCTGGGAAACGAATTCCCCCTTCTGTGACTGACATGCGACGCTAAAAAAAAGTTCATTCTTCATTAACAACATTACTATTGATAAAATTATAAAATATTTAAAACATATAAAATTTAACAACAACGCATGACGACTTTTATGTATGCAATCCAAAAGCTGTGAGATATTATGGTAAAATAGAAGTAAACACGACGTCGACTTAACAGAACCACTTGCACTTGCACCATATTAATCATTCTCAATCAAAAAATTTGATGTGTAAACTGAAAGTTTGTTTAATACATAAGTTTGTAAACATAATAAATCGTAAACTTACGATTTCATCTGGAGATAAAATGCCAAATTGTACTCTTTTAACTTGGCGCAAAGGCGCCTTCGAATCATTCGTGGTCGCCATTTTGACGACCAATGACAATAATTACGAATGTTTGTTACGGTCTCCCTTATATACTCTGTTTATTTTTTTTATTTTATGTAGAACATGGAATAAACTATTCAGCCAAGAAGAAGAAATTGACCTTTAATTAATTTTATTGAAACATTTATTAAAAAAAGTAACGAACACAGTGAGACCCTATTTTATGAGATATTTTATAATAGTATTTTTTTTACGAATAAAATTTTATGTACTTGAAAGGTGAATAAATTTCCTTGATAATGTTTTAAAATATGGATAGCTTCTTTAATTCTTGTATATTTTTGTTAGTTTATAATTAGTATTATTATTTATGCAATAACATAAAATAGAATTTTAAAAAAAATATGTTTTTATAGAATATTTCAAAATTAAGATAGACATTCTATAGAAATATGTTTATCTTTTTTTCATTTAAATTCTTTAATAGCTTATCACATCCATGACATTCGTCTTAACATGTAAACTGTATTTACTACTGTAACTAGGTTTTAAGAGTTAATATAAGTTTATGAAACTAATCTAGAATCTGAACTCTGAGCTTACACGCTGTACCATAGACAAAAATCATTACTACGTTTTCTACGATTTATGTAACAAATGTGCTTATTTTTAAACAAAAAAAAATATTGTGATATCTCTAACAATCTTAGAAAGATACCATTATAAGTGATGTGTTAATTTTTGGTTCATATAAAATTAACTGTAGATTAAAAAAAATTAAAACCCACGTTTTTATCAAATGTTACGATTCGACCTCTATAGAATATATTTACGAATTTTTATTGATTTTTTATTTTTATTTTTAAAAAATTTAAAATCTAATATAAGGGTTTTGTAAATTTTAGAGACGTATGAGATTAAATATATGAGACGAAAAGAAAAAAATATACTATACTTTTTACTATATCACATGATATATAATATTCACAATAAAACTTTATTAAATGTATACATAATAAGATTCTTGATCGTGTCTAAATACCGCATGGCATTATTTTATCAACCCTTTAAATGTCTATTTACCATGTTAAATGCAATTCCATAACAGAATTCATAACTAAAAAGATAAAATTATAATTTTAGGTAAGTGACTATGTATAATATATAAAATTTTGCCATCGACAAATATTGTAACATCATCACATCAATAACCACGATTATGTCCAGGGTTGCCATTCGTCCGGGTTTCCCCGGATTTGTTATAGATCAGATTGCAGTATCTGGTGGGGGGGGGGGGTTAATTTGTAGTCTGGTTTTAAAATTTTAATGATTTTTAGAACAATTTGCGACTACCTGTAATAAGATTCGGTTTGATGTTACATTTATAATAATAATAAAAATTAAATACAAGGTGATTCTTGATGTTTTCAACTGTTCTATTCTACTATTTTTGTAAAATCTATTGACGTGTCCGGGTTTTGGACTCTAAAATCGGTGGTTTTCACGGGTCTTGTCCTGGTTTCCAAATTTTACAGATGCCATCCCTATATATCCACCATTCACATATGCTTTAACACTGTTCAAAGGGTTGTTTTGGTTATATTTTAACGAACGACTTATATTTTTAATTACTTACGGCCTCACTAACGTATATGTTTGATGATAGTTTTTCATCGTCCGAGTTCACTTCAGAATTTGGGTCAGAGAGAAAGAAATAGAATTTTATATAATAGATATTAACTTATAATTTATCATACCAATCATTCGCCTACATCTATATCTAGACTGCCTGTTAGGGCTCGATCTTATAGTAACTTCACAATATTTCGGAATACTATAAAACGGCCTATGTATCATTTTGATTTCTATGTTAAACTACTGTCAAGTTTCAAATCTGTTGAGTACTTTTTTTCTAGTCAGGCTAACAAACATCAGTCCATAATCATAAACTTTTGGATTTATTATATTATTAAGATTGCATTTTCATATTACTAGTATTTTTTTTTGTTTTTATTTACACACATGGTGTACCATCGGAAATAGACAGCTATTTCATACCCACATTGGTCCCTTAAAATCTGCTTTAAAAGCTCTAATATTGATGATGGATGGAAGTCGTGATTTAGTATAGCGATTAGCGAGCAAGTATTTGGAGCAGGACGGTATTGATAATTTTTTGAAGGCTAAGCGTCACTTTTATGACTACGGTAGCCATGTTGGTCCCGGCCTATAAATATTTGTATCATCTGCCGGTTTGATATATGTATCTCATATTTGTAATTTCAAATGAAAAATTGCGTGGATTGCTATGAAGAGGCCTGTCTCTGTTGGATCTCACTAATGGGAGCTTCCACTACCAGCTACATCGATGATGCATAATGAGCCAACAGAATAGATAGTATTTTAGAATTAAAAAGTTTGTGAATCCTCAAAAATAACTTCAATTGCCTTAATAATGATTTGAATATTTCATCACCTATATAAATTTTTTCTTGTTTTATTTTATGTTATTTGTAGCATCCATTAAAAAATTGTTTTCATATTCTTTAATTAGTTTATAAATTTTCCCGTAGTAAATAAATTACCCGTAGGTAAAAATAAGATTTTTTTTCGTACCGCAAAAAAATTGATGCTTAAAATTGTATAAGTCCAGAAAAAAAGACATTTCGAGACCCTTAAATCGTATGAAAATCATGAAATATATGTAATGAATAATGATTAATAATATCTTTAGCCATTTTATAAACAAAATTCTTTCTCATCAATCTTACCAATTACCACAAAGCAAGATCCAAGGATAATTGTTATTACTAATTTGTAATTGCATTGCATATTTAATGTTAAAACAAATTTGCTCCAAATGCATACTAATGTCCACTAATTATCATCAAACTATTTTACCTAAATTGATTTACATTATCATTTTGTTAATTTGTTTATTATTGGTGATCATAAAAAAATAGTATCAAAATTGATATTCAAAGATCGGATATGGACAAATAAATAACATATTTATTTAAAGTTTATCTATAAGCTGACTGTATCTTAAAATAACATCATATATTAATTTTAGAAGTTATAATATATTCAATACTTCTATACCTGGCTTTCAAGTACAAAATAATATTAAAATATATTTTTCCGTAGACAAAGGCTATATGTACCTTTTAAATCTTTATATTATTTTTATTATCAAGTATATTATTTAGAAACACTATTGTGGTAAGGAAACAACAAATGCCATATTAATTAATTTTATTGCAAAAGTTATGTTAATAAATATACTTTGGCAAAAAAAATCTGGCTTAGAAATATTATAAGGTGCTCATTGCTTTGATTTCATTGTATTTATAGCTCATTTTATATAATAAATCTTTGTTATATTTTACTACCAGATGCGCTACTAATATTAAATTCTAAGAAGTCTTTAAGTAATGTAGTTCTTCGCTTTTCAGCAATATCCATTTGATTTTCAAGATCTCCTCTGTCCGTGGTTTCAGCCCTTTCTATTTTCCAAGATAAATTCTCTATTTCTGCTTCCAATTGTGCCTGTAATCGCATATAAAATAATAAAAAGTAAATATTGAAGTTGAGACCATTAATTTTCTATTAGATAAGTAACACAGACCTGCTGATACTCAAATAATTCTTTCCTAGGCCCTATATCCATATAATAAGCAAATGGGTAAGTGTATTGAAGTGTGTATCTACAGCGCTTCAAGAGTCTAGCTGCATCCCAAAGGTACTGCCAATCAATCCATGTGCCCTCGCCAGCCATAACCTTATAGTAAAATAATATCCATTATCATTACAAAATTGTAAATAAATTTATGTTGTAAATATATTTTATATACATTATAATATGATTAGAGCATTAAATATTGTACCTTCTGATTTATTCGGCTTTTTAAAGTTGCAAGTGTCTGCTCTTCTAATTTTAAGGATCTTGCATGATTTTCCCATCTCTCATAGTAATGCAAATATTTCTTTAAAGCTTCCTTTGCCTAAAACCAGACTTGGTTAATAATGAAAAATAAATATATAATTATAGAAATGTTACAATATTTACTTGGGCTTGTTGACTATCTGTTATAGAATTAGGATCTTCCTTGTAGCGACTGCACTCATAGTACTCTGATCCATGATAGCCCCAGTCACCGAGACATACCCAACAAAAATCGTGTCGGCAAGCACCACATTGCATATGATTACAACCACCATTTTTTTCTATACAGATTTGACATTTAGGACAATCCTGGAAACCAATTTGTTGGTAAACAAGTGTCAGCTAGTATTAAAAAAATACTGTCAACTCTATCTTAATGATGTATGTATGTATGTAACTCCCAAGATTTATTCATCATATTAAAAACACCTTTGTATGAGCACTAATATAGTTGGCAGTTTCTGAGTCATCAGCACACTTCGTCAGCCAACGCCTTATAGTCATACAGTCAGTAGGGAGCATGATGTGGAGCCCCACATGAGAAACAAGTTAGCATTTCACAGCCTTGACATTCAACACGACGAGCACCTTCCCGGACCCAGGCACGATATATCCACTGAAACCATTTAACAAACATTATTTAATATATATATATATATGAAGTCACTTTAGAAGTTTTTCACATCACAGAGATTATTCGTACATACATAAATTTCTATTGATAAAGTAGCTGTTATTAACACATTGTCTGAAGAGAATAAGGCATTAATTTAAATTTTGTATTATTTTTTTTTCTACTATTACACCTGTTCATAATTAAATTTCTTATATACCTGACAGTTAGGTCCTGGACAAAATCGGAGCTGGGGATGGGATTTAACATGATCTTTGAACATGAATTGTTGATAGCGTTCTCTTAAAGCTGGTTTTGTTACATGAGATAAAACAAAATCCTCTGGTGCTCTTACTTCACAATCTTGAGCCATACATTGTATAGTGTTTGAAACTCCTGAAAATTATTACACCAATGAGTATTGCTTGCACATTTAAATTAGAATTTAAAGTACAATTTTCAATAATAGACATACCTTGCATAATTTGCACTTCAAAATGCATTGCCCAACATTCATTGCAAAAAAAGTGCCCACAAGCAAGTGCACTGTAATTATTGATGGGGGGTGTAGTTGCACAAACAGCACAGATAGATCGACTTGTGCTACTCTGAACAACTGGTAGACGAGGTTTCACACAACTGTATACAAGAACTTCATTCGGATTTTCGTTATACTTTTTTATAATCTCTTGAGCATTCCATTCATAAGCATGCAACATTACCTAGAAATAAGTAATAAGTTGTTAATGGTGTTGCGTTAGGCTCTTCATTTGTGACATTATTCTCCGCGAAAAACGTGCAGTGTATTCCGCCAACGTCATGTATGAGGAAGACACTAAGACTACTTTGGTTTCGTTCCAGTTAAGTGTTATATAAAGTTATAATACCTTCGCTAGTGAAGGTGTTATTTGGAGACTATTACTAAGTAGTTCAATCGATTCATTCAGTAATTTTTCCACTTCTTCCACTCTAAGACAAGTGAATTGAAAATATTCTGGATCTGATTTGCTACGGTCCACAGCTTCCATATCGCAATCATCTTGTCCTCCGTAATAGTCATAGTCGTCTCCATCATTGTCTGAGTATTCCATATCAGATTCCGCAGACATTTCAATGTTATGAAGATTTACGTATACTGTATGAAAACTATAATGGAACAGAAATCATTTAATCCACAAGAAAATAAAAAGCTGCTACAACCTTAAATAATTAATAATGATTGGAACTTGTTTGTGTTTAATATCTCAAAAATCAAAATAAATTGAAGACTGAAAGATTCCTTCATAAAACTAAAGATTAAAAATTTAAGACAAGACATTGACTTTTAAATTTAGTATTTTGAATCTGTTTTAGGTCCGCATCAACACCCCAATGAAACACATAGACTAAACTTTTTACAGATAATATAACATATGTATCAATCTAAAATCAGAGAATCATTACTTAAGGTCTTAAGAATTCTAATTGAATTTTTCATGTATGCAAACGTTGACTGTGTCTTTTTGTTCGTCGAAGCTTTTTCAAATAAGTTACAAAATTCTCTTTCTTAATCATATAAACTAATGAACTGATAGTTACTTATAAACATTGAGGCTCAAAATTATAACTTTCGTTTTGTTATCACGTTTTAAAAACACAAGTGGAATAAATAGTTCTTTTATTTTGTAATATTTTTTTCCGTGAGTCATCAAAAGTTTTTATTTTGTTATAGAGATTTTTTCGTTTAAATGAATTATTAAGAAAATTATGTGCTTAATAAATAAAAAAACTCTTAAATCAAACCCTCTTAAAATTAAAATTGTCACAACCTATGCAGAAAAAGACGATACATTTCATAACTGTTAGCGGGTCTATAATTTTTATTACTTTTTTATAAATTTTCTATTAAAAAATTATGTATGGTTTATAGTTCATTTGTAACACATTTAATTTTTTTATTAATTGGTATTTTTAGTCAAAAAGCGAGTATGGTCACATTATATGTTATGTTTTGTGTTATTATACTGTCAAATAAAGGTCACCTTCATGAAGTTCACCTTCTCCGGTATTCAAATTTAACAAAGTAAAAACATAAAATTTACTTCAAAACATTTATTTATTGTATCTTAAAGGTACTTCTTTAAATATTTTTTACTCTATATATACAGAAAACAATTCTTAATTTATAAAACTTAACTAAATTGTTTTTGTTGTAGTTGTTCAGTGGTTATAATTATTACAAGAATAATGGATATAACTACTACCCAAAAGTTTATAGAACGTGGGTCCCATAGGGGGAAGGGCCTCGCTGTGTTCACCAGTGGTGGTGATTCCCAAGGTATGAATGCTGCCGTACGGTCAGTCGTTCGGATGGGTATTTACTTGGGTTGTAAAGTTTACTTCATCCGTGAAGGCTACCAAGGTATGGTAGATGGTGGAGACAATATTGAAGAAGCGAATTGGTCCTCTGTTAGTTCTATCATTCACAAAGGTGGTACCATTATTGGGTCTGCTAGATGTATGGATTTCATGTGAGTTGTTTTTAATTAAATATTTGTTAACATATAATTTCACTACTTTAACTGAACTACTACTAGTAAAGTGATAACTTTTACTGAATGATTTATAAAATGCATTTCATAACTTGAGGACAAAAAGATATCAAAGATTTTGTTTTTTCCAGGTGAGTAATAACTAAAATATTGGTTGTGATTTAAAATTAATATATAAATTAGGTTTATTTTAATGAGTTTCTAATGAATAGAGGAGTGAAATTATGCATATATGTTTTTTTTTAGGAAAAGGGAAGGTCGTCTTAAGGCTGCAAGCAACTGGTTACTCGAGGTATAACTAATTTGGTGGTAATTGGTGGTGATGGTTCACTCACTGGAGCTAACCTTTTCCGCCAGGAATGGTCTAGCTTGCTTGATGAATTATTAGAAAATAATAGAATTACTAAAGACCAAAGAGAAAAGTATAAACATTTGCATATTGCTGGAATGGTAAATACAAGAAATATACATTAATATATCATATGAGCTAATGTCATATCTTCTGTTATAAAACCTTTTTACAGGTGGGCTCAATTGACAATGATTTCTGTGGTACAGACATGACAATTGGCACAGATTCAGCATTGCATCGATCATTGAAGCTATTGATGCTATTGTGAGCACTGCTTATTCCCACCAGAGGACATTCATTATGGAAGTCATGGGTAGACATTGTGGGTGAGTTGACATGTGGTTAAAATTTATTAAGAACATAACAAAAACTTAGGCCATATTAGCCAATTCAATTTTAAATTATTTAAATAATAATAAACAGTTTATTGGTGTAGATATCTTGCTGTGGTAACAGCATTGTCTTCCGAGGCTGATTATGTGTTTATACCCGAATCACCACCCACAGTGGACTGGAGAGATAAGCTTTGTTATAAATTAGAACAGGCAAGAGTTAAAATAATGAGTTTATAGTGATGCCTTGCCCCCCTTCCTGTGTGAATGTTTTGTTCTATCACTTAGTTTTTTTTTTTTTAACATTACTTTTCCATTCATGCAAAGTATCTCTTTAGTTTTCTTGCAGTATTTACGGCACTCAGTACGGACGCTACCTATTGTTTTATTTGTGAAGAGCCAGCACCGCTCAATTGGGATAAAAAAATATGTGAAAAAATTAAGGAGGCAAGATTTCAAGTTTTTATTTATGTGGGGGAATGGTTACTTAATTTTCATTCCATATTTGAAATTCTTGGGTTAGGCGAATTTATTACAGAAATATTTAATTGAATTGGCAGTTAATTGGCACATGTATAAAAAATAAGCACATATCTATGGAAATTGTATTTAAAAACAAAATTTTCTCATCTCCATTGTCCATTATGGTTGGGTACTGCTTGTTGCAGTTATCTGGCATTAGTGGCCGCTCTGGCGAGCGAGGCTGACCAAGTTTTCATTCCGGAAGACCCCGTCCCAAATAATTGGGTCGAAAAACTTTGCAAACGTTTACAGCAGGTATACAAATTTTAATGAAAAGGCTTACATAACACAGTCATCAATAAAGTACATAATTTCTTCATGGCTCTACATCTTATACATCTTTCTCCTATCTTTTCTTCAAGGGGCACATGGCATTTAAGGTTCTAGATAGTAAGCTTCGCATGATGTTGTTGTCTTTGCTTTGAGTTTTCTTAAACATTTACAGGCTAATCACATTAAATGTCTTGCTAAAGTATGTGTGTGTTTTTAATGTAGAATTTATTTTGGCTTTACTAACTATTTTTTTTGTCACTGTTCTCTCTTTTTGTATATATGTGAGATCTATAGAAGATTGAGTGTAATGTAGATCACGAATCACAAAATAGGCGAACAACACAATATATATTTTGATTTTGATGTATAAAATGGATTTTTCTAGAACTATTAATTCCAGGAGCGTAAGTCCGGTCAGAGGCTGAATATCATTATAGTAGCGGAGGGTGCGATCGATCGTGAAGGTCAACCGATAACAGCTGAGCTGGTTAAGAAGGTGGTTGTTGACAACCTTCAACAAGACACGCGCATCACGGTCCTTGGTCACGTGCAAAGAGGAGGTTCCCCATCAGCTTTTGATAGAATTCTGGTAAGTACACAAGTTCTTAGTGGTTTTATCATTTTAATCAAACCTGAATAATAATAAGTATATCAGGGGTTGCCAAACTTATTTTGGTTATTGCCCACTTTGAAAATAAATGATTTTTTAATGGCCCCATTTTTTAACTTACTGCAAAACTAATATTACTAGTTAAGATATTAATATCCTAGTTGAGGATATTACAAATTATCCCCCAATCCCCTCACTCATTATTATCTGGGTCTCACTCTGCAGCACCCACAAAAGGGTGTTATCACTCACTTCCTGAAAGACTACTCTACATTTGAGTTTAATTATAAACCAATTACTATAAGGAAAATATAGTTTTAAACTGTCTAATGATTTTTGGAGTATTGTTATGATACATCCTATTTGTTTCCTCCTATTTATTACATTACTTAATTCGAGGAATTGGACCGGTTTCTTTGAAATTCATGAAAAGGAAGTGTCAATTTCTGTTCGGAATCTGAGATTAGACTTGAATGATTAATAACAGGGAACGTTGTTGAAATATTTTTAAAGTTTAAGACGTATATTTGTAAAGAAGAGCGTGCCTTAAGATATCTAATATAAATGTGTCTGCTAAAAAATCAAATTTTATTTAAAAACACCCAAAAAAATATTAGTATGAATAAAATTATGCATTATAAGGAAATAAAGTATTGTTTTAAAAATCAAAACTATCAATACCCGATCTCGTAATTGTCAACGTGATAATAATTACAATGAAAGATGTATTAAGAGTAGAATTGAAAATAAGTAAATTTAATTAATAGAAAACAGTTTACACTAACAAATACATATTTACGTATTAACGAAATCAGATACTGTTCAAGCTATAAGATTTTGATATCTTAACTTATTTAATACGCTAAAATCATTGACGAGAGAAAAAAAAAAACATATTTAAGTAATTAACATTTTTTGGCTTTTTTGGTTACATTACCTTCACTCTAAATTGACCAAACGTAAATGGCTTACGTGACTACACTCAGCTCGGCGATCGCCATGTGCTAATTCAAACAAGACATTCATTTGTTTGTCAGTTTAATTAAACTAAAATAATTTGCATTCTATTCACAAATTGATCTTTTTGTATTTACGATTATGTATTATTGATCTTTATATACTACATATGTATTTTTATTTTGTGAAATTTTTACACACTTTCATTTTATGATTCACTTGATTTTTTCGAGATGATTTTAATAATATTTAAATCAATGTAAAATGTAAAGATCGCATGGGGTAATACTTTACGTCATAAATTTAGGGTTGTCGCATGGGAGCTGAGGCCGTGATGGCTCTAATGGAAGCCACTCCCGAAACTGAACCGTGTGTGGTGACCCTGGATGGAAACCAAGCCGTCCGTCTGCCTCTCATGGAGTGTGTGCGACGCACTAAGGCCGTGGCACAGGTGGGAATAAAGTTTTATAATAAACATTTTTATAATCTTATAAGATACTAGCTGCGCCCCGCGGTGTTACCCGCGAATTTCCGGGATGTAAAGTAGCCTATGTATTATTCCTGGATGTCAGCTTCCTGTATACAAAATTTTATCAACATCGGTTCAGCCGTTTGAGCGTGAAGAAGTAACAAACATACACACACACTCACAAACTTTCGCAATTGTAATATTAGTAGAATTCAAAGATAAGGCTAAATATGGCTAGATGCATACAAATCGATAGAGGTTTAATATAACAAAACCTTTACTGACCAGGCTATGGCTGACAAAAACTGGGATTTAGCTGTCCAACTGCGCGGACGCAGTTTTGCAAGGAATCTGGAAACATACAAAATGTTGACCCGTCTGAAACCTCCCAAGGAAGCTTTCGACGCGTCCGGCAGACCGACCGTGAGTGAATTATAAGCATTACCATATTTAATAAAGATATAAATAAAAATAATTAAATAAATTGTCGGTTAAAAAATTTTTAATTTTCAGACGAAACTATTTATCATAAAGCAGTGAACTTTTTAAAGACTTAAAGAAAAACGCTTTAATGAAGAATGCCATATTTTTAAGGCATCTGACAAATAAGAGTGATTTTCCTTAGTTTTACTTTAAGACTAATTTTTTAAACTCGTGTTTATAAACACAACCTGAAATTCTAGTACAAGTTTTGTTTGAAGTTCATTGGTCATCATAGTATTAACAGAAAATTATGAATCATAGTTGAAAACTCTTAGTATATAGTGTTAAGGTGCAAAATGCGGAATCACAAGCAAACGACCATAATCTAATACAGTAACTTGAAAATAAAATAAAGTATAGTGATTGTCATCATTATGAAAACACGTATATATCTATAAGAATATCAAAGCCGCAAAAATATGTCGCAGATGCTAAATGCGAAATCACATTTTAATATAATACAATACAATTTTTTAATAAAATCAAGTGTAGTGATTGCCATTATTTTGGAATCACCCTGTATATATAGTAACATCAAAGTCGCTATAATATCTAATATATGGCATATTAATAATTCCAGGAGGGCTATACTCTTGCGGTGATGCACGTAGGAGCCCCAGCGTGTGGTATGAACGCGGCCGTGAGGTCGTTTGTAAGGAACTGTATCTACCGCGGAGACACTGTATTAGGGATACACGACGGAGTAGAGGGACTCATCAGTGGGAACATCGCTAAGATGGAATGGTAACGGATGTTGAGACTAAGATTATTAGGATTAATATGCGTTATTATGTTATTTTTAAAAACTGCATGCCACCGACGTTAATGTTAATTAAAAGGAAACGTGGTCACTGGCAGTCGAGATGTGCCAAATCGTTTTTAAAATAATAAAATAACACGTAGTAATCCAAAAATATTAGTTATATTAAATGAATACTCGCGAGAGCCTTTGTTAATAAAGCAACATTTTATGCCCATTTTATAATATGTTGCTTTATTAAAGAGTAAAGATGTGTGAATAATCTTGGTATGCACAAACCCTAAAATTTGTGTTGATCACTGTGATTAAGACATTTCGAAGCGAACATTAAGAACTGTAGATATCCTAATCACAATTTTCTCAAATGAATACAAAAACTATAAATATATTTCTCCTAATATCACACCCAAACATTTATTACAGCAATGTAATAACAGATTCACCAAAACTTTATTCATATAATACAAATATAGAAAATAATTGAGGATGTCATATTATTTAGGTCCGATGTAACTGGTTGGGTGGGACAAGGAGGCGCCTTCCTTGGAACTAAGAGGACGCTGCCAGGTGACAAGAAGGCTGAGATAGCAGCCAGGATCAAACAGTTCAATATACAAGGACTGCTTATTATTGGAGGCTTTGAGGTATTATGAGAAAAAAATTAATTAAAAACTACCCTCAGAATTTATAGTCTTTATAATTTTAAGTGAATAGTGTAAAATGTTTGTCAATATAGAGGTATAGATATTAATTTAAATATCTATTAAAGGTATACCTCACAAAAACTATTCACCTATATATTGTTATTGCATGTATGACCTAACCACTGGTAATATTGTTTGAATATTATATATCCACAGGCTTACCAAGCAGGTCTGGAATTATATGATGGTCGCAGCAACTTCCCTGAGTTCAATATACCGATGGTGGTGATACCTTCTACCATCAGTAACAATGTTCCCGGGACCGACTTCTCTTTGGGAGCGGACACAGCGCTCAATGAGATCACAGAGATATGCGATCGAATCCGACAATCTGCCCAAGTAAATATTTAATTTATTATTGATTGCTATCTGATTAATACAAATTACTATCTGATTCTAAATGAAGTCAAAAATTACTAGTAATAATCCATTATGTCAAATCAAAATGTGTTACTTTACAAATTTACTGTCTTTCATTGACAAAAAAACTTAATTACAATCTACATAAGAGGTTTCATTGTGTATGATATTTTTGTAGGGTACAAAACGACGCGTCTTTGTTGTTGAAACTATGGGCGGATATTGCGGGTACTTGGCAACATTAGCGGGTAACTATACTTTATATAATATATTATTCTGACAATTGACAAATATGGATATTAATATAATTATATTGTTATATGTGTAGGTCTTGCTGGTGGCGCCGACGCTGCTTATATCTACGAAGAAAAGTTCTCCATCAAGGATCTGCAACAAGATGTATATCATATGGCGTCCAAAATGACCGGCGGCAATACAACGCGGTCTCATACTCCGTAATGAAAAGGCCAATGAAAATTATAACACTGAGTTTATTTATAGACTTTATTCTGAAGAGGGGAAAGGTTTATTTACTGCGAGAATGAACGTGCTCGGTAAGTTGAGAGGTTGTAACTTTGAAAACTTAATCATGTACTCAATGCCAGACACAAATTTGTTCTGTTACAAAATATAATTATGTTTCGATTTTTAAACCGAATCATAGTGTTTTCTATAAATCAGAATTGTTGAACTGTTTCTTTTGACATGTATCCAATTAATACTTATTAATTATTTACACATTAAATATATACATACAGACTCTACCTAATTTTGTTTATCATACATAATAATGTCTATAAATACAGGTCACATGCAGCAAGGAGGTTCGCCAACACCCTTCGACAGGAACATGGGCACCAAGATGGCGGCCAAGTCTCTCCACTGGCTGGTTGAGAATATTCAACGTGGCAACACCGGACCCGATTCCGCCTGTTTACTCGGCGTTGTGAAGAGACAATATAAATTCACACCGCTCGAAGAGCTCAAAGCTCAGACTAATTTCGCGTTAGTTTCCTTACATTATTATATTACTACATATAATCTTTATATACTATAAATAGTTTTTATCCTAGACTTTTGAAAGGTTCTCTTGGAAACGCGATATAACCGGACTCCACGCGGGCGAAGCTGCGAGCGGAAAGCTAGTCATATAGAGTTATTTTATATATAAAAATTCGTATCTGGATAGTGACACTTACTTATGTTTTTGATTAAAAGTAATATGTTGATTTAAAAAAAGGCGAGCTAACTACATAGTGTCCACTCCAAAAAGACCGAAGTGTAATATGAAAGTGTCTCATGATATTTTGATATTAATTCCTGTATTTTAATATATGCTTGCAGCCAAAGAATAGCGAAGCAGCAATGGTGGATGAAGTTGCGTCCTTTGCTGCGTATCCTCGCGAAACACGATTCTACTTACGAGGAGGAAGGCATGTACATGACAGTGGAACAAGGAGAGTTAGATCCTGAACATGTTATCTAATCTAGTCACTATACATTTGAAATTACATTAAACTCACATACATTACTATATCAATGTTGCTATATGCAAATATTTTGTTTTATTAATGTTGCTAGATGCAAATATTTTGTTTTAGAAATATAGTATTATTATCAATATAATCATGTTTAGAAATAATTTACACATCATGTATTTTTGAATATTATTTAAATCAGAGACTTATGCTACGCTTTGATGAAATTATACTATTCCTAGAGATTGATTTTGTTAAGGAATGTAAGAAATATTATTTATAAACATATTAGATAGTCAACTTAAATATTATACTGTGTTTTTTTTAATACCTTACAGTTTTTGGGGTATCCATTTTTATAAGCAGATATTATATTTATGTTGTCTTAAAAATTAAGCTTTCAAAGACAATAATTTTTTTTATTTCTTTATCTTTTTATAAATAGTATCTGTGTCTGAAAATATAAACACTTGTTTAAAAGACAACTTATTATTTATTTTTGGAATTAATGATTTTTTTAGGTTTTAGATAAAAAAATATGATCCAGTGTTAGTTGAAAATCAATATTTCAATCATTTTTATTAATTTTTATTTATAATCATATAATAAAGAAAATTACCATTTATTTTTGTTTTATTTGTATTATATAAATCATATTATAAAATATTTAAAAAAAAATCTCAAGAATTTTATGTGACTTAAAGTAATTGATTGCAGATTGACAAATACATGTTCGGAATGAAAACTAACTACCATTTCAATCAATATTTTAAAATGGTTTTTTAAACCTGTTTAAATTTTAAAAAATGTTTGTAAATAACTAAAATTTTGATAGAATAAAAATGAAAGGACTTTTAACTCTAAAATATAGAGTTAACACATTTAAAATAACTATAGAGTCTATATGGTATCAATTAGAGATCTTCTAGGTTTTATGTTACCTCTTATTTAATCAGAAAACTGTCATACTACAAACTGTTTGTAATATGGCTTGATAACTTAAAGTTAAGTTATCTTGATATTATTAAAGGTTTTCATAATATTAAGGACATTCTTATTTAAGAATGTTTGTTTTTAATAAAGTAAAAAATATTTGGTTTTAAGAATCAGGCAACATCGTAGTCATCTTATTGGATGAATGTATGTAATTAAATAATAACCTTTTGTATGAAACAAAGAAATTTTATTTATACTGTAGTTAATAATTTTTAATTTTCCTTAAATTTATATCTTAAAGTAAAAAAAAAAAACCATAGATATAACAAGTAGAGATTCTGATTTGATTCTATAAGTGCCAACACAACAGTCAACAAACAAATGATAGATTATGAACTGTTGACGTTTGTCCGCGTAGCAAGTGAAAGTGGCACGTCAGTCGAATCCCTGTCAAGAGCGTATTTCAGATAGGTCTCCTTCCATAGAGATCGGCTGTTTACTGGTTAAATATTCGGGTAATTTATAATAATATTACTTTAAATTCTACCTGTTCAAGTACATAAATTAAATTTATACGTGTTTTGTTATTAACTATGTTATTTTAAAATATAGTTCTATAGTTTTAGGTTAAAACCGGGAAGATGGGTATAAAACCTGCAATTGGCAGAAAATCTAACAAGAACCCCCCCGTTTTTAGTCACGAATTTGTGATACAAAATCATGCCGATATTGTATCATGCGTTGTTATGGTGTTTTTAGTGGGACTTATGGTCCAGGTAAGTGTTATGGAGATGCCACGTAAACTAAAAAGTAACTGTTTTTTTGTACCATATTTTATTCCTGTGTTAATTTTTGTTTTCGATTTATTGTTGCAGTCAACAAGCCCAATTGCTAGTTTATTCATTGGACTCCACCACAACGTTACTGGAGTGGAACCAACTCGCGACGTTCCGAAAGGTGAACCTTTCACATATGAAGCTGGTTGGAAAGATGCGGGCGCTGTATTTTTTTACTCCCTCGTCTGCATTGTATTCCATGCAATTATTCAAGAGTACTTCTTAGATGTAAGTAGTCTACAACTGTTACAGTTTGTAATTGGAAATTTTAAAATATCTTTTTGAACTTTTTTTTTATATTTTATTTTTTAGAAAATTTCAAAGAAGTTCCACTTGTCCAAATCAAGACTGAGTGCTCTCAATGAGTCTGGGCAGCTGATTGTGTTCCAACTGATGACTCTACTTTGGGGTGGAGATGCTATACTCCGTGATGGTTTCATATTCAATATCTCACAGCTGTGGGATGGTAAGTTAATATTTATTATATATATTTTTTACTCAATTTTATTTAATTTAAAAAAATTAATGCACAGTAAACACAAGAAATATTATTTTTAAATAAACATTCTAGAATAATTCCATAAGAAATGGACACAAAGGACTTATGTTTACACAAAAAAATGTTGACACCACCAATTAATTATCAATCATCAAACAAGTTTTATAAACAAAGTAATTATTTCATTAGCTAAACATTTTGTCTGCAAAACAAGAATAACTGCATGTATCATATACTTGTTAGCTGTTATAATTTTATGATACCTCTACAATTCTGTTTTATTCTAATCTGCATCTTTGCATAGCAACAATTTTAGCATAGTTTTTATTTTACATAAGTGTGTCACATTCTAAAACTATTTTCATATATTTATGGCTCTATAATTAATAGTCCTAATAGAATTCATATTTTAGAAGGTTTTTCCGTAATTTAAGAATTCCTGTTTTTTTTTTGAAATTATGGTTGGTATAATTGCCACATTCTATAACAGTATAATATTATTACAGACATGTATATTAACTTATTATATAGATTTTTGGGATACAAATTTTAATAATTTTCAGGATACCCCAACCACCCAATGAGTTTCCTCCTCAAGCTGTGGTGGGTTGTCCAAGCTGCGTACTGGATCCACACAGTTCCAGAACTATACTTCCAACGAATCAAGAAAGACGAGATGTCAAGTCGTCTCATACAAGCCTCTGTGGCTTTCACCTTCATAGTTGCCGCTTACTGCTTCAGGTATATTTCATTAATTTAATAATTGTTTCATAGTTACTTGATTATAGAATTATTTTAAACTTCATACTTATTGAATATTATTGAAATTAACATATAATAATTTTGTTGTAGATTCCAGCGTGTAGGAGTTTGTCTGGTGGTGCTTCATGCTCTGTCTGAATTCATAGCTCATGCCCACCGTTTGAACAATATACTCAGGGGTGAAAAAGAGGATTACTTTAACAAATGTAAGCCAAAATATACTTCACTTGACTTAAAGCAACATAGATTGTTATGTAATTAAATACTAATCCATATATCTTATTTCAGTGCTCAGCTTGTTGAATGGAGTTTTGTTTGTGTCCGTCCGTCTATGTTCCCTAGTACTTGGTGTACTAACTTTCTACTTTGGTCTCGCTGGTGTCGCACCACTGCTTCTCCGTGTTGGTGCTCTATCTGTACTAGTTTCATTCCAGGTATGTTTATTTTATTTTTATATTATTTTTTTATATGTACACTATTTAGATCACCTTTTGCATGTTTTTTATTACTGCGAGAACTTTTAATTATATTGAGCTTACTTTGTTTAAAGGTTTACCTGATGTTCAACTTCATATCTGAAGCTATTAAGAGGCGACAGGAATCCGCTCAATTGGCCCAAACCAGGCCAAAGAAGGAAAGGAAAGAGAAGCCTAAGAAAGAGAAAGGTATATTAAGTAACAAAACAAACATTAATAAAGTGAAACTATGTTGGTAAATGTATGTTAAATAAAATGTTTTGTTTGCAGCAAAGAAAGTGCAAAGTGAAGAATCTGATCTACCCGAAGTTGATCAGAACACAAACAAGGCTCTCCGACAGAGACAGACTGCTGTGAAGGCAAAATAAATGAGCTCATCCTAATTCATAACTAAACTAGGTTGTCCCCTTCTGTGTTCTTCCCTATTTATATATTTGTTCCTTCTTGTCAATGCACAAAAAGTGTAATTCTATTATAGATATTAAATGAAATTTTATTATTTTGAGATTGTTAATATAATTGAAAATGTATGTGTTAGTTCATGACAATTGAATTTTTTTTTATCACCTATTTTATAATCGATGTATAACAGATGTGTTGTCAGAAACTGTAACTTTCGTTCATAGACTACGAAACGCACTATTGTCATTACAAATAGTGGATACAGGGTTGTAAAAATATCTCTTTAAGTGTAAAAACTTAAAGTATAGGTTATAATGTTGTTTATATTAATATATTGATAAGAATTTACAGTACTGTGTTTGTACACATAAAAAAACAAATATAACATACATTCGTTTATTTTGATTATTAAAAATGTATCTTGTAATTCCAAATCGTTGTATTGAATTGTTTACATTTTATTTTTTTATAAACTTTACTTGTATGACTTAATCATATCTATTTTCAAATTACAGTAGATATTTTCTATTGTATTTTCACAATATTTCGGTGCTTTTTTCCATTTATTTTTACTATACATTCTGCTATGATATAGTCTATATTATTAGTACGCTTAGTGTATCGTAATTCAGGACCTAATTTAATCTGTGACTTGGGGGATATACGCACTTTAATTTAATATGAGTTTACATGATGTTGAAACTCGTGTCCGATGTTAGACGTTAATATAATTAATCTTCCTATTATGAAAATGTGCTCATAAATTATTATATAATTTCAATGAGAATTGTCAATTTTAACATGCTTGATGTTATTTTATTCCTGAATAAATTTTGTAAGGATTATGTTTTTTTTTCACTCCGATTATGTCAGTGGCCTAGTTTACTAAATCGAAATTTACTAAATAATATTTTTTTATATTCTAGGTTTATAGCTCGTTGTAGTAACACAAAATACACAAATGTTTGGACAAATACTTTTTAATTTCTAATTGTCAGAAATAGTACCGTCTCCTTTATTATAGGCCTTTGGTACGTCAGGATAATGGTTGCCTACGATGGTAATAATGCACTATTTACTTAGAATAGAGTAGAAAAATGAATGTGCAAAAGTTTTAGCCTTTCTGTGATTTCTTTATTAGCATATTTTTTTATGGATAAGTAATAAATATAATTTACATTAAGTGAAGCATCTACGACTAGTCGTTACATAAATATCTATGCTGTTAAAAAAGCTACCTTTAGACTTGTACTTAGGTGATTCATTATAATTCGGATCACATCTTCCTAATTATAATTTTTAGGATGAATGACAGATCTGATTCATAACCCCAACTGTTGATCAAAGGTACAAAATATATATAATTCACTGATGGTGTCTAAACAGTTAAAGGAGGGGTTTGATAATTTTTTTTTTTCAGTCATGAGCGCACCTTTTTAGCAGTTTAAATTTCCTGGGCACCTATTATATCTGTTAACGTCTAAAGAATAACATATAAAAAAGACATCACGCTTAAATAATGCGTTCGTAGTAAGATGAAACTTTTTAAATCTTGAAAACCAATCATGGTAGTCAGTACAGGTATATTTTAGTTAGGTATATCTATTTTTTTCATCGATAGAAAAAAATTATGATGATATTTAATTTCCATCTTACTAGATGTGCTCATTCTAAAAAATATTTATAAAAACAAATTATCTCCTCGTAGATAAACTATTGAGAGATAGTGTTAGCTTAGTGGAAGACTTGAACATGTCTAATTTTCATTAAAAAGGTGTATTACAATGAGGCCAAAGTATAGAGGCTATGAACGGCCTTCCCAAAAGTTTCAATTTATTGAACAACATGATGACTATTCTGGAATACTCTACATTGGTGACTTCTTCAATACAATGACTTCTTTTTGTAATGCTAAGACAACCTAGAGTACAAATGGAAATGACGTCACTTTGGTTAACCGTATGCTTAGACGATCCAAAACATCAAATGATTTGGAAAATAAGTTGAACAAGTTTGGACAACAAATCGAGTTTCATGGATAGAAATGTCAAGTGACTTTAAGTCGACTTTCACCCACGCTCCCTTAACCTTTAGGTTTAACAATAAAAGAAGGCCAATCATATACAATGGAAAATCTGGATACCAAAGGATTTTACATGACTGCCAATCATCGTGAATATAACAGTAGGTACCTATTATAAAAGTGAAATTATAATCGCCACATATCTCCTCTAAGTAATATTATCTCTGGTTAGAGTAAAGTACTGCTAACAGTTTGGTTATCAATTAAGAGAAACTTGTAAAAATGTAAGGGTAGGAAAAGAGTCGTTTGGGGGTTTTTATTAATATATTTTTTTAGAAACTGTTGTTTTGTTGCTTTTTTACGAGACAAAAATTGCGTTACGTAGAACGCTCCCTTGCTTTGCAAACATAGCATCAGTACTGTGATATGTATTAATTATTATATCAAACATACATTACAGTCAGTTTTTGCGGGACAAATCAGTGAATCACTTCAATTGCAGATGGTGCGATAAATAAAATATTTGTTTAATTTGTGTGAAAGTTTTGATTTATTGCATGCCAACTAATAGAAATGTAAATATGTAAAATTCAAAATATTTTATAACGTTGCATTTCTATTGGGTTCTAAAAAAGAATAAAGTGTATTTCTGGATAATTCTGGAAATTATATCACATCAGTTATATTTTTACGATAGTGTAAAGACTACTGGGTTTTGATCCATCACATGGCCCTGTCCACGTACTTAGTGCACTTCGCGGGGAAGAGAGGCTCATAGTAGTTATTTATGATCTAATTCCCTATTATTTTAACTATTAATTTCTTGTTACTTAGTTTCTATAATTTTTCCCCATATCAGGCAGAAAAAACATAAATAAAGATAAATCAGAGATCGTCGTAGTCAGCGGACAGGCAGACTTATTATTAGTTGTTATATAGATAATTTTTATCATTCCTCCAACATTTTATTATATCTAGATTGGTCTATACAGGGTGACTGGTGAATTACTATCGATATTTGAGGACGTGATATTTGACGATCATATATGACAAAATAAAAATTAATATAACATAAATATTAATAAACTTCTAAGTAAAGTTAACCAAAAGTTATGTAATTAATTACGCATCGTGTGAACACCCTACAGATTAGGTATACACTGACACTCACACATACGCGTGTCGTGACGTGGTATATCTCAGCATTGCGTCTACACTTGAACACTTGGAACGTGTCAACACTTTATTTATTTATACGGAAATTTTGTCAAAAATTAAGTGCCTATTTTTTTTACATAATTCGAATGAGAATCATGTACCGAGTATTCTCCTTAAATATTGATAGTAATTCACCAGTCACCCTGTATATGTTTAAAAAAATTGATTTGAAACTTTTTAAATTATGTAAGATTCAATAGTTAATACTCGTATTATACACTCTAAATTTACTATATTTCATCTCAATCTATTGAATACTTTGGCGTGAGGAAGTATTAATTAATAAAAAGACAAAGAAACGCTGCGGCTCTTTTTTATAAATACTTCGGAATTTGAAAGGAATCATGGTTCAATATAGATAAAGGGAAAATCTTTGTGATTCAATTTGGTATTTCCGTTCAGCAAATTAATACGTAGAGAAAAAAATTTAAAGGATTTTCATTAAAAATAGTCATATGGGATGATATGCGAAAGTAATTGAAAGAAAATGTAACGATTTTACGTTTTATTTTTAATTTAAGGTGGAAAATATTACTTAGTGTCTAGTACTAGCTGACAGTTACAAATGAATCCTATAATTATACATTATTTCTTATAGCTCGTAACACAATCTAGAGAATTAAATTGTTGCTCTGTTGCTTCGAGGAATTCATTACGAGTTACTGAATTTATAGGTAGACAAAACACAATCGACTTTATTGGTATTTTTTTAAATAATGTTCTACTTAACATATTAGTGTTAAACAGTACGAGCATTAAGAATATTTTATAGGATATTGTTTTGATTTAATATCCTCTTGTTCTTTAAACCATTAACGGTTTTATTTAATGTGTTAGGACAAACATCATCTTTTAATTTATTTTAAAATATGGGTATTTTTTTTCTCTGAAGAAGGTATGGCAAATGGAAATTTTAAAATACCTAAAATTGAAAATAACAATATTCCATTTTGTTTGTTGTATGGATGATGTTTATGGAAAAAAAGCCCATTCGAATTAAAAATTACTAGAACATTATGACATAATAGTTTAGAAGGAAATAATTTTATTAATTAGGAAGAGATGTTGTCAATACACATGAAAAAAGATACACAATATCAAATAAAGTAACTTAATTATATTGCATTTAATCAGGCAGGTGAGTAATCATTAAAAATACAGAATATACATCCATTTTATGTCGCCTACAAAAAAAAATAATTATATTTTTTAAATAAGCCTAAGCTATAATAATTCTTGTAATAAAAAAAATCACTAGATAAACATACTTATGAAGGATGATACTGAAATTTAATAGGTATAGGTAATGAACAAAGATGCCAAATTAACAAAGTAAAAAGAAATGTACTATTTACTTTAATGGGATAAAGATCTGAAATAATTTGTTGATCTAGATCATATAATTATAAAAATCTTTGAGCAAGTTCCAGGTTCTGAAATAAAAAGATATCGAGTAGTTTTCTCTGAAAAAAGCCCATTTCAAAACTGAATTGTAACTTTCTTGAATGATGTATAATTAACCTGTGGTATGCCGCTATGATAACAAGATTTTTTATTAATCTGAACTCAAGTTAACGAAGTCATTAGGCCTCGGCCTCGAATCTCGCGGGTAGCGGGGCGCGCTATGGCGGCACAAACGCATACTTTATTAAACTAGAGGGGAGGGGGCACGGAGTATGCGTTTTCGAAGCCGCCCCGCTACCCGCGAGATTCGAGGCCGAGGCCTTAGTGTTCCTAACGTATATTTAGTCTTTAAAGCACTGGACCATTCTGAAGTTAATTCAAAACGCCCAAAGCTCTATTTTTTATAAAAGTTAATTTAGTGGCAACTTTTTTTATCTCACTGTTATCGTCGTTTGACATGGAAATACGCGAGACTGCACACAAGATGCCAGCGAAGCCTTACGTATAAGGCGTATAAAAGCTTACTTCGCGTACATCTAAGCCAGTTTGAGCCCAGCATCTGTCGAGACATAACGCAGCAATGCAGCGACTTACTCTATTCGTATTTGCCGCATTCGTCGTGGCCATGGCTATGGCAGGTTAGTGCCCCTCAGTTTTTGCATCAACCAAGCTGACTTGACGGTTGTGTTTTCCTCTTTACTTGTAAATTCTGTGACTAATACCCTATTGGATAAGTTTGTTAAAATTGTTTTTTTATTCTCGTTAACCATTTATAGATTCCGTTTGAGGGTTATGTTTGTAATACAGAAAATGATTATATGTACCTCGTGTTTCTTTTTATTTCTTAATATGTTTTATAACTGCTATACATTTGTTATTAAATAAGAAAACTTCGGTATTGACGTATTAAAATATACTTATTTACTTACTAGACATTAATTTAGTACACGTGTAGGTTTTATTCTTTTTTTTATTATATATCTGCAAATCGAACCGTTAAAATATATTTTTTTATAGATCTACATTTGTATATGGTACTCGTATTCCAGTTTTAACTATTTTGCTTAATTGATGCCGTATATCAATCGACGAAATCTCAATTCTAAGATTTTATTCACCTATCCGTCTGACGTCTGTTTAGTTACTTAATAATTATGAAATAGTCTGTTTTCAAATCAATGTGTTCCTTAAAATACTAAATTACATCTCAGTACTTTCTATGTATAAAAAAGGTAGTCTCAAATTTCCGAATCTCGTAAGGGAAATATTACCAAGAACAGATCTCGTTTAAACCTAGGATAGTGAAATTTCACATAAGATTATTCATTTCACCAAAATAAAAGAAAAAAAAAACCTATACACTAATAGAGTCCGGTGTCGATACATGGAATTGGAATTATTATAACGGTTTAGTTTGTCTCTAAATTCAATTTGTCTCTTATTAAGATTTGTGGTTCGAAAATCTCGGATTGCGATTTCAAACCTGCACTTATCTGCAGTTTATTTTTATAAAAACGTTAGATATACTATAGTCGCTTACAAAGAGTAAAAAATATAATAAAATTTGTGGTTGAGAATTATTTGTATCGTGAATAGTCATCAATTTTCTGTTCCATTTTTAAACTAAACACATTTAAATTCACTTCCTTAAGTTAGTAAAGCATATAGGTAACTTGTTTTGATAGATATTGGTTACAGGTAAAAAATGGAACAGTTATGAAATAATAAAATTGTGTCCGTTAAAAACATAAATCGTTTCCTTACTGTACCTTTACGAGGGATAGTATCTATTCACTTTTTCTAAAGTAGGTTTATTCTCTAGTTAATGAATATAAAATACATGATCAGCGATAGATTTATAATTATTTACCTTTGTATAAAAAAAAACAAGAAAATTTCTTTACAACCATCTCGTGGACGCTAGTGACGAAGTCTGTGTCTAAAAGATATATCATAATTTTATTACCTGTTGGAGACAGTTATGACTTAACTGTTACCTGAGAATTTGTTAGGATAAAGATTGTTTATTTTTTTTCGTTCGAAAATCATTCTGTTTTTTAAGTACAGCTTTTTTGAATTACATTTCATTCCACTTATAAAATTAAATCACCATAATAGGATGCTTTGTGAGAGATGATAAACTATTATAATTAACTTTATTTTTTATGACATTAAATATTAGAGAGGATAATATTTATTTGTATTTATTGGCAGTAACTTATGTTGAATAGATGTCATAAGAATAGAAATTGATGAATCTTAATCAAAGGCGTTGTTCAAGGCTGAAATTTCTGTACAATATATTCAGAATATTTATAATGTCATTTGGAATATAAGATTTTTAAAGGTCAACTCTATTGACAGCTTTACCAATATTTTTATAATAATTGGATACCTATAGAAGTGTTCGTCCAGTCACGAACTTGTAAGGTTATTTTTTAAAACTCACGATCAAACCGTGATGATAGTGATGATCTCAAGATGTTGCTTCATTAAATATTATTGCCGTTTAGTCATACTGTAAACTTCCGCTGGTTTAATTATTAAATATCTTAATATTTGCGTAACTAATACATTTAAAATGGTATCCATTAGGCTAGATAAAAGATGTTAGTTGTTTTAATTATAGATACGAGTTACTTTATGATCATTTATCTGTATAAATATAATACTAAGTAAGGAGTTGATCAAATCCCGTTGAAAATGATCATTGGATGGGTGAATTTGATGACATTCTACATTAAGCTTTTAACGATTTAAACTATTGTATTTTATATCAATACATAACTGTCATTCTAATAGTTTATAATTTAAGGGTGTACAATTCTTCTTCTTCTTCTACCTGGCAATTTCCCAGCTATAGCCAGGGTCTGCCTTACATTTTGTGAATAGTTTTGGCTATTTGTTTTTACGACCGGCCGCCTGCCTGACATCAACCCTTTTTTGGGAATCAACATTAATCAGTGATGTCTAAATACCTTTAGAAAGTACATATGACTCGAAAAAATCACATTGTACAATAAAGAATATTATTATAACTACCTTGATAATTTTAATTTTTATGTAGAATTTTTTGGGAATAAAGTTGCCAACGCCTTACGCTATTCATGTGTTAAGATTTGTTTAGCTTTAACTAACATATAAGTAAAAAATTAGTCTGAATTTTCCATTAATTTCATCTTGACTTTGCTCATGAAGTGTTTTATTCTTAAGGGTAGTAAGTGACTCTAATTTTTATGATTTGTATCGTGAAATGCCTTACATGAGGATTTTTTCTTTCAGCTGGCCAGTATTACGTACCAAGGTCATATTATATCATCGATGCTGAGGGCCATGCTTCCCCACCAGTGCCACTACGAAGACTGCGTCGCTCAGTCGGGCCGTATCCCTATGATTATGGCAACGGTGCCAGTGCCAATGCCAATGCTAATGCCAATGCCAGAGCCGACAGCTGTGAGTAAAAAAAATAATCTTAGAGTAATATAAAGAAAAAATATGTAATCCGATTAATATGATAAGTATAAACTTCGAATGTTTCTACTACTAATCGTCTATAATCATTTGTATTAGTACCTACCTATGCCATGAGATTTTTGTTATTTAATATTTTTCCAACAAATTAAATAACTTTTTAATGTTAAGCGCTCATTGTGACACATTGTTGTCGTATCGCTACATCGAACGTCTTAAAAAAAATCTATTGTGTTCAGAGGATATAATTAAGTGTTGATTTTGATGTTAACATTGTTATTTCGAACAAAAAAATATATTGAATAATTTAAAATAAGAAAATTTTCGATAGAGTTTCAATAGAAATCTTCTTATTAACTTGTTTATTAACATTATTAACAGACTAAAATGGCGCTAAAGCTTAGTCCAATATTCGTATAACTTTAGCTGCCTTTTGTATTGTATTTGTCGTTACGCAAGGGTATGTGTAGTGTGTACTTACTCTTCACTTTGTTCCCGTTGTGTGTTAATAGCTTTCAAGAATACATGCCATACCTGTATAATACTTGTTGAAGACGACGTGTGGGAAGTTCTATGTCATTGTAAAATGATGGTTCCGAAACCTGTCTTTCACGAACAATTTAATATGATTACTAAATATTTATTGTTCTTTAAGTTTTTTTATATATTATAAAAGTTAAATATGATTATGGTTACAAAAAATTGCGTGTGTATAAAAAAATTATAGTGCGCTATATTTTTTAATTGTTCTTTGTAATCGAAGCTTCAGTCTTTGTTACTAAAGTACACTATATCATTTAAAATAACATAATAATTTAGCTATCATTTTAAATGGTGACAAATGATTTATAGACGTGCTATTTGCATCTAAATATGTCCTTATATTTTATTACTTCTTACTCTTCTGCTAACTTTATTATGCATTCAACGTGAATGTGAAACGGATTGTTATTTGAATAAAATCGTAAATAGATCTGTCAGGTGATAATGCACGGTGCAATTCATTGAAACACTTCCACAATTGGTATGCGTGTTTGTTAGTTAAGTTTAATTCTGCAGTAACAGTATCGGTGAACGTGTGGAGCAAGCACAATCTCCGGCGTGAGTCCGCAAGACTAACGGTTCATTGGCCAGCTATTAGCTACAATAAAAAATGATCCACTATATCGATCTAAGTGGACCACCTACTTATTTTGATAAATTACATACAGCCGTCCCAGTAAAATACTGTTCTGTGAGAACTTGTATTAACTTTCTATGATTATAATAAGTGTGTTTATAAGCCAACATATTTAGAAGCTAGATACATTTCATTATTACAGGCAAATATTGATAGAAACTTATCGTTTCTTCATACACTACTTATTTTGTCTAATATATGTACTGATTTTTTTTTTATTATTTTGAATGAAATTAGGTGTTGGAATATTATTATAATAAATTCGTATATTTCCAGGGGGTCGTGGAGACGCGAACGCTAATGCCAACGCAAATGCTAACGCTCGTGCTGGCGCTGGGAACTGGGATCTTCCCATTGGCGCTTCCTACGGAGCAGCAAACCCTGCAGCTTTAAGGTTTTTATTTTTGTTTTATATTTTAGACTTGATAATATGTAATTACAGAGATGATTAGGGCTGTAATAGTGAAAGGGTAGATTTTTAATGTTCCAATATTTTTAATGTGATCCCAACGATTAGGTATGTACTTCGAATTAATAGATGAAGTATTTTTATTATAGACTATAGACTTTGATTTGACTTTTTTTATTATTCCAAATCAACTTGTTTGTGACAATGTATATGTTAACGTCTTATTAAATTAGTTGTATCTTTTTGAGCGGTAAAGAATTGGGAATATTTTAAATATCCAAAAAATTTAAATTTTGTATTTGAGCATATATTTCACAGCGATTTTGAAAACATTCACAACACGTTCTATGTATAATTTGTTTATAAGTATATAGTATCTAATCAATATGTAATCTAACCTCATGTTTTGTGTTTTCATAGGCACTAACTGACTTCAAAGAACGAACTAACTCTACGGTGACGGCTCATCCATCCACGCTAATTTTCCATCAGTTGCAGCCCGCAGTGCGCCTGCGCAGTTCTGTAACTGCCGGAAGATATATTTATTTAATGTGATTAGTTCTAATAAATGCTTTTTATTCGTTATGTTGCTTTATTGTCATTATAAGAATACATCTTTGCCATATATGTACGGCTTTGTTTTGTGGGTCAATGATAGGATGTAGCAATTTAATGTCATTTTTTAAATATTTATTATTACACGAATAGATTGGTTGAAAAGTCTGTCTTCATAGATACAGACGGATATTTTAATAGTCTACTTATAAAAAAAATACACTTCGAAAAGTTATACAAATTAAAATTCAAATATTAGTAACAAAAAATCCTAATTTTGTAAATTGAACAATAACACTCATATATCTTTAAAGTATTTACTGGAGTATTGTTTAAAAAATACAACAACATAAATGAATATCAGATGGACACAAGAAATGTGAATATTTTGTATAATTTAGTTTTACAAAAAATAGAACATTTCGAAAAGTTTTGTAAAATATTTTACACACATACATTTGCTAAAATATTTTAACACCCGACCATGTCAACTTTTATTAGTCATGGAATAATATTATAAAACTTTATGTTATGTGTATTTATACCAATTTACTAGAAATTAATGTTTTAAAATTCAACGAAAAAAGTCAATATGAATGAAAAATGTTTAGGTCATTTATGTTTACCTCAACCTTCAATTGACTCCAAAATAGCAATCTATTCTATGTATCCTACATTTTAGTTGTATGTATTCTGTAAAATAATTTCCAGTCCTGGGCAAACTAGACGTCAGTTTGGGCCGGTGTTCGGAGGGAGAGCTGTCTCTGCGAGTTCCTCAGTCGGCCTTGACTCCACTGGAAATGGATATTATGACCAGGAGGCATCTGTTTCGAACTAATTGTAAATTACGCAACCAATGCTATTAGATGATAAAATTTTCTTAGAAATAGACACGAATAAAAAGCTTACTATAATATATCTGTAAGTTGATTAATATAATCAAAGTGGATGGATGATATTTTAAATTAAATACAATTCTTATGTAATAAAATGTATGTTTTTATTTTAGTTTATAAATTAATTCAGTATGAAATAATACTGTTGAGAGAGCCTTAAGTCATTTTGAATACCCGTAAAAACATCAATTTTAGGAAGCTCAAATGCATTATGTTTATTATGGTCAAATAGACGCCAATTATTTTGGTGGTAGTTCCAGTCTGTTTTGAGGCCTGCGGTAGTGGTAGCCAGGTTGCGGTTCTGGTTGTGGTATAGGTTGTGGTACGATAGGCACTTGAGGTGGAGTTATAATAACTGCGTCGTCAGTAAAGGCGACGTCACGACCAAAAGCTGGCAGAAACTGCTGTTGGTATTGTCCTTGGTAATATTCTGGTTGAAATTGTGCTGGTGGTCCATAATGTTGTTGTACTCCAGGGACACCATATTCAGGTGCCAATTGCATTCGTCCAAAAATGTTCTCTAGGAATGGAAATTATTGGTTATTTTGGACCATAAACCACCATTTCCACCCACTTGATTACCGCCCTGATTACCCCAAAAAAGACGTTCGGAAGGCTCTAACCGAAATTCGGGTTTACTTCGACTGTGTAAGGGTCATAATAAGGGCCTGTATTATATGGTAGTTCTCGATGCACATTGTAGGCTACAACGCCACCTGGAAAAAAATAGCAAAATCATAAAATAAGAATCTAAAGAGAGTAATTTAGAAGCAAAGTGTTACAAATTTTAACGATCCGCAACTTTGAATGTGAAACAATATTATTAATACACAGATATGTATAATTCACAAACCTAGAATTCCAAATATTAAAAATGCTATTGGTGTATACATTTTCGTACGAGTTACTGAAACTCAACTGTGTTGCATTGTTACTGGTCTTGGTCTTTATAGCAGTTCTGTTTACTCCTAAATGGGGACCTTGAGGAAAAATTCTCGTAACCCAATATTGAAAGTGTGAGGTAATGGTAGCGGCTCACCCAGCGGATGGCGCGCTGTGGACAATAGGCGCGACATCTAGGTGACGCGACATGCACAGGATGAGAAGAAAACAACTATAATTAAAAAATATTATTTTATAATAAAGCAAAAATATATAATTTCCTTATAGGGCTATAATACACAAGTGTAAGTATAATAATTTTTAATATTATTTCTGCGAAACGACATTTCATTGTTTAACTTCATTAACATTTAATGAATGATTTATAATAAGCAATCTTTTCTACTTTTAAGGCTGTGGAAGCTTTCATAAAACATATTAACGTTCCCATAGGTTACGTAAAACTTGAATTGTCATCTCAGTTATGTGTGTAATCTGTATATAAATGTCATAAGGTAAATGTTTATAGCGTCATGTAATATTGAATTAATCCGTCCCTTATCAAGAAATTTATTGCTTTCATTAAATATTTTGATATATCAACTTTAAAGGGCGTTTTAAAGTTCTTTTTATGGATATTGCAATAAAAATAAAAATAAATAATTATTATAAATAGATAAAAAATGATCTTCGCCATCACCCTGTAAATGACGAATATAGTTGAAAAATGCACTCATACGCGTTCGTGCGTGTTTACTCAATATAATCGGCATTATTCATAACATAACAAGTATTTGTCTTCGATGGTTGTCACGGTATTGTTGTCCGTAGCGCAGAAGCGTTTTGCAAAATATTACCCAATACAGAGCTTTACAGACTTCACAAGAAATAGATATTAATGTACAAACGTGTTTGAAATCGACAGTACCTTTGTTTAACAAAGATAACATTCTACATTGATAATAATAGTCATTTTTAGGTTATCTATATAACAACATGTACTTTTTTCTGTACGTCCTTACTTAATATTAAATACATATTTTTTTATAATCCTAATTAACATTCTGACTATATATATTTTTGACAATTCTTACAGATTTATAAATAGCGTTTATTATCTTTGGATCTAACCTAAAGTTCAATGATTAGTGTAATGATATGGAAAGTGGTCAATGGGTCGATTGAATAACTTGTTTAATCGGTCAAAACTAAAAGCTGCGATAGGCCAGAAGAATGATATTAATGGATACAATTTGTTTAGTGTATTTAATAAAATCTTTACATAAAACTTCGAATATTCTTTCAAGTTGATATACTTAAATGACCAATTGATGTCAATTTATGAAAATTAATCATTGAGGTAGTTACCCTCCATTTTTTCACACATTTACCTAATTACGTAAAAACGTGTAATTTAAATGTATTCTTGAATTCGTTATTGTTCGAACACATTATTTATGAGCAATACGTTCTGAATTTTAGTGGTACACTTATTTTGCAACTGAACTGCGTGAAGCAGACGCGCATATATTACCACAAAACTAAAAGAAACACCCTCTTTGTAATAAAAAATCGTTAACGTCGGGATTTTTTTTTGTTTTAAAACATTTTATTATAATAGCTTCGAACTGTTTAGACTGAGTCGTTATTAAAAGCGAGTTTTATTGTAGCAATTTGATTATTGAATTATTCAAATTGGTTTTCTAGCAAAAAATAATTTCATAAATAATGTTTTGTCTCAAAAATTTCAAATATATTTTGGATATCTAACTACGAGGAGATAAACAAGATAGCAAAGTAAGATTTTACAAACACTTTGTTTCTGAATGTTATACCTCAATGCAATTTAAATTAAATATACCAATAGTAGCGCTCTTTGTATCTGAAGTTGACAGTAGACTGTCGGTCCATCCAATTCTCCAACAAATTATTATTTTAAATACCAACTCATAAATACCATTGAATTTCCTTATCCACTCTCTATCTAGCCTTTGGTTATCCGATACCAGAGGCTTAGAGAGGCTCCATCCTTTTGTTGGACCTAATACCCGGATGAACCGATACGCTACCTCCTTCCTCATGTGTACAGCAAAGGATTCCAACAGCTTGTCTGCTTCTGCGTTTCCTTCAAATTATAATATAGGGTATCTTCAAAAAAGGGTGAATAGTCTGATAATGGGATAGTGCTTTCATCTTTTATGACTTCAATTCCATCTTAAAAAGAGTGGATCGAGTCCAGTACTATCAAGTTAAAATAAAAAATCAAAATTGAAGGTGTTGAACAATACCTAACTATGCTTTAGCTTGCCAAAGATTTATTACGGTTCGACATCTGATCTCAACTAGCAATTTATTTATAGCTATGTATTAAATTTTTATGGAAAAAAGACAAAATATCGAAAGCGTGTACGTTAAATATTTTGTTTCATTCATAATCTGCTAGTGGACCACATTCGTGGGATACAATAGTTGACTAATGTTCAATTTAAGAAGGCGAACAACAACGAACAGGTTATACAATACAATTGTTATAAAATTAAACGATTTTCTCTTTACTATATAGTCAAATGACTTGAGATTTTTTCTTAAGCATTGTCTAGACATGAGACAAAATCTTTTATTTTGTAAACTGGAGTATCCTCCTTGTATCAGTATTAATTATTTCCTTGGTTTATTACCTACATTTTATAGAATTTAGAGAAATGGATTTTTTTTTTTTGATAAACAAATTGGATAATATATTTTCAGAGTAGATTTTTTTTTACAATCAACCGTATAAAAATGTTGAATAAGTATTATTTATTTCTTTTTTCCCTTTTTTCGTTATCACTTGGTCTTTTTTATTGGCCGAAATATTTTAAGGTAAGGTAAGTGGGAGCGGCAAGTAAATATTTGCGATCTGAGTAATACCACGTAGTTATATTTTATCATATCAATTATTTCATTTATTTAATTATATTTAACGATAATAAAATTAATAATTATATTATTTTTATAAATATAATATTATAACTTCGTTTATCATCGTATAATACAATAAATCTTAATTTTAGATAGGCACAGTACACTATACAAGAATGTAATTAAAAGACACGCAACAAGACAAAGTGTTTGAGCTGTCTTATATCACCGATAGCTATTTAAATTAAGTTCTGTTAGATGAAACAGGTATGAATATAAGTAAAATAAGTTTATTACTAATTAATGAATAGTAAAAAAAATACTTTAATTAAGAAGGCCATGTTCTATAAAATTTCAGCATCCATAATTGGACGGCTCAGAGAAAGGTACTGCTTCATTATAATCTTAATCTCTATAATGTGATCCTAATTCTGAAAGTGATTTTCAATGTGACTTAATCCAAACCAACTTTATAAGGACTTGTCATTTCTAAGTTTGAATTATATATATAAGTATATTTAAATTTGACGACCAGAATGAGATTGTACCTACGACTCATTCAATTGTTATAGACATCAACAACAAATCAATTATCATTATCTAAGAAGGCATGAATATTATTAACAGTTTCTTAAAAGATATTATATTTCCTGGGACCAGGGAAATTCACATGACAGTAAGTATGGAGATACCAGTAAAGTGAAGTGTTTACTGTTACTCCCGACGATAAAAAGTGAAATGACTGTTAGCAGAAACCGAGATATCGTAAATGAACAGAACTACCAATATTGGAACAAATTGAAATGAAATGATCATTAAAGATTTTGCAAACAAATATTTTTTGTAAACCTCGAAAATATAATAAAAAAATTAACCAAAAATTATAATTATTCTAAAAAAATCCCCATCTCGTCACAGTCACAGAAAATTTTATCTCGTCTTCATGTGATCACGGTGGCTGTAAACTAATCGAAAAACTGAGGTAACATTTAATATAGTAATAATACCGCCTTGCATATAGGAAAAACAAAATTTAATTTTAAATTCCGTTCGTGACACAAAGCGGCTGTCTCACGAAAGTTTTGTTTCCATCTCTATACTTGCTATTGTTATAAGGCACTCAACTAAATATGTAAAAAACTTTTATCCTGATTATGTTCAAACAGATATGATACCAGGAATTCTTTACAATAGAGAGACTTTTAACCAAACAAAACACAATCATTGTATTTATTGCTTCGAATATTTATGTGATACGGAATTCTCAAAATGTGTTGCTAAAAATAGACCCCTTTTACTTATAAACCAATATACAAAATAAACTTTACAATATACAAAGTCTTTTCGTGTCCTTTTCAACCCTGTGTTTGCCGAATTGCCATTAAAATTCCGGTCAGGCTGTATTAAATCAAGTATCGATTTCTATATTATTTACTTGTTTCAAGAGCATATTGTGAAATGTATGAATGTCTTGAAACATATATGTATAATATTTACATAGACACAGTTACGTAAAGATATCACAAATGACAAGAATATGAACATATGTACAACATTTATATTTGCACAAGTAAAATATTTTTTATTATTATATTTGATTATATTTGGGCAAAGCGCCTGATCAGAAGTTATAGCAAAAAGTTTTAAAGAAAAATATGAATTTGAAATGAAAAAAGTAAACAAGTTCAATCAATGGAAAATATTTAGAACCGCTTTTTAACTCCCATAGATTTTAAATCACGTTTTGATTGATATTTGTTTTTGTGTGTAAATATAATATGTAAAAATAAATGAAAAATTTATTTTATAAATTTGACTGGTTTCTACATTTATTTAAATGCTTTATTAAACTTAAAATTAATAAAGTCCAGCAATATAAGAAATGTTTTCTGATGAGCTTTTAAAAACAACCATACAAACTCACAGCGAACAAAAAAGGCAAAACTACACATTTCTGTATTTATAATATGTAGTAAGATGATTATAACGAGTTATCTCAAGGAGGTATCTCAAGTTTTTTTTTTTAAATACAAGGCTAAAACTATTGAACCTATATTATGTATGGTAACTACACCAAATCATCTTCATTCATGATTTATGTACTATATTTTATTACAATGTAGTTTCCATTTAAATTATCAATTATTTCTAAAAAGATAATAAAGCGAAAATGTTAATTAAAAACTTTATTTTTGATTTAGCTAATTATTATAATTAGTTTGATATCAAATTTATGGAAAATATAATAATTAAGAAATCAAATTTATGGAAACTAACTATAACTTATTTAAAAGGTTTAACTTTAAAATTTTTGCTGACCAAATATACTCGACTAAGAACTTCAAATAAATAGGAAAAATTAAGTGTTGCCTTAGAGAAACTTTCTATAAAGTGAAATATTCCTACTCGCTCCTATTCATTTGATTTCAGTGTTGGAAGGGCCACTGTAAAGTTTCTAAAACAATTGCTCAATTTCAGCCGGTATCTTATTAACATTGGGGACTCTCTTCGCGACGAATCAAATGTGCTCCAGAATATCATAGCCTATAACAAACTCTATAGGTATGACGTGAAAAACAAAAACCCACTATGCTAAAGGAAATTCGCACGTTTTAAGATCGGAAAAAGAAGGCAGATTTTAAGAGTAATGTCAAGGTTTTGCTTACTCTTCACTATAACTATGTCATGACTTATTAACCAAGAAAAAAACAGTCGATAAACTGAAAATTATTACTTGTGCAAAGCCCACTAGAAATGCACTGATTTGTGCAAGATCAAGAATTATATTTGCTTCACGATCAGGTCCTTCACCCACTACGAGCGTCCGCGCTGACACAACGGTGATTGTGCGTAATAATTTGTCTAAAAACCACCATTAACAAATCACTCTGAAGACACCGTATTAGTGAAGACCAGTAAAGAACGACGATGGATTGCGATCGAGGAGGTAAAGACGGCATCATTGAATTTAAGATTTCTAAAATATACATTTTATGTTTGTAAGTTACAAATTGTAACATGATAACATCCTTTAACTAAAGGTATTTCTACAAACTATAATATAGTCGTACTTCGTCAGGTTTTTTTTTCTTATATGTGTATTAATATGTAAGACCATGGCCTTATAGTATTTTTATAGCACGTAAATAACTGTAACGATGTTATTGGGAAATTTGAATGACGTCATGTTTGCACCAGGTTAAAAACAATTTAAAATTGGCATAAGTTAGTGACTAAATTATTATACATATGTTCACAATACAGTCATGATTCAGACCGTCAAAAATGTAGCTGCCGTATACCAAATGATTTATCCGGCACTAAAGGTTCAAACTTCGCACAATCCATTGTTGTAAATGATGACTGATCAAAAAAAAGAAATGACGCTTTATTCATATAACAACAATAAATTTTATTACTTTTATTATGTTATTTTTTAAATAAAGCGAACTACTTGTAAAAAAAGAAAGGGGAAAAAGCAAGAGCTTCAAAGGTCATGATCATTATAAATAAAAAAATAAAATATAACATACCTATACCTATACCTAAGTACATCGATATTTAATGAATACAGATGTAAATTTTTCTATAAATAGATATAACTATACTATATAAGACGTAGTAAGTCTTTTGATGGTACAAAATTATTTAAAAGTTAACCAATTAAAGAGTTTTTAAAAATTCGGCACGCTATTTCTAGATAACATTATGTATGTTTGATTCTTTAAATGCTTAAATTTAAAAACTTTTAGTTATTAAGTTTATAAATTAGCAAAATAAAAAAAAAACCAAAGTTTTTTGGTTTCAATACAATTGTTTATAATTGATCAATTATGTACATATATATTTTCGACTTTATTAAAAAACCTATTAAGTCGAAACTGAAATTTTCTATTACCAATATTATTAACCAATGTACTTTAAGCTATTCGTAGAATTAATCCGTGGGTGTAAAGAATCATCAAAATCATGAATAATAATTTATGTTAAATAACTCGCTCGCAGCCTTGTTAGATGAAACAATAGACACGACTCTGTATATTTAAGTTCACTTCAATGTAGAATTAATAAACAATAATATTAATTCTAATAAAGTTCCCATAATATATACAATTAAATTGCGATTGTCTATTTTGTATTCAATCGATTTGAATACATCATGAACGAAAACATATATAGGTAGGTACATAAATCATGTCCCAACAGTCCAAATCTAAATAGTTTCATATTCATGTTTGTAACTATTACATACATTAAAGTTTTGACTAACTTTTAATAAAATAAAATTAAATAAATGCAAAATTGCTTTTGCTTATTTGACATATAACCATATGATATAAAAATATATATATATGAAGTTTTTAAATATATTTTTTTAATTTGATCGAGTAAAGAGGTGAGCGGGACTCAGTGTTTTATACATTGTAAAGTCTTATTATTTCTATGATAATGTCAGGCCGTTTTCTGTCAGTTTGTTTTTATTAACTACAACATTAATCTTCTTTGGTCGTCACTATTGACATTGACTTACACTGAGTCGACGCGGAACACGGATGTCGACTGACTCAGATATCTTAGATAATAAACATCATTCATTGGTATTTATTATATTATCTTATGAGGATTTATAACAAATAATAAGTAGATGAATAATAGGAAAGCCTGGCATCTAATCTGTAATGATTTTTTTTAAGATAATCTATCCGGTCAATACAGATTGTCGATATTTTTCTATGCTTCATATTTATTTTAAACAGAGGATTCAGAAAACAATGTCATTTTACTAAAATATTTGTACTAAAATTAAAATATTCTGCTACATTTTATTTCATTGGCAACCTAAAATTTTATTTGGTTAAAATGAGAAATACCATAAATAAAAATTTATAAATAAAAATGTTTATTTTGTGCTTTACATAATTTTCAATAACAAAGTATACTAAAATAAACGTAAGTCTATCTCACTTAAATATCACAAGCGTATAGATTACCGTAAGTCATAAGTCTTAGAAGTTCAACAAACTCTAGCGTGAGCCACATTTTAGATTGTAATATTATAATCATCATCATAATCTTTTATCTTCTTCCATAACCTGAAAAAATAATAAATTACATTAAATAAGTTAAAAGACTGTTGTACGGTTTTATTGAAAAGTATATATATCAGTTTAATATTTTAAATTTATTAATGATCTAACAAAAGGTAAAGGGTAAAAATGTTGTGTGGAAACAATTTACCTCCTTTTACTGAAGCACCTGCTGTAGCATAGGCTGCGGCTGTTCCACTAGAAAGACTTTTTCCATTTGCCCAGCTGTTTGCATTGGAATGAGCTTTTGCCGCAGCTGTGGCTCCAGCAACTGCTCCCGAATTTAGATTCGATTTACACGCATTACAACCGGAATTAAGGTTAGCGTTTGAACCAGATAATGGTACGAAGTTCCCTTGATCACCAATATGAGATTCTGCCCCAGCGCTGGCAAATGCGCCCGCGATATTAGCTTGTTTTAGGTAATCATTTAGCATATTGTCTTTATCAGAACTACCATAAGCATTTGCATTTACAGCTGCGAAGCGCTATTTGCATTTGCTTGTGCTCCCGCGCTCGCAAAAGCTCCTGCAACATTGGCTTGTTTTATATAATCGTTTAGCATCGTTTCCGAGTCTTCCTTTTTATTTATATTTGTATTTAGATCTGGTGAGTTTAGAGATCCACTGTATTGTAATCCAACCCCTTGAGAAGAACCTGCGATATTGGCTTGTTTAACATATTCATTTAATTCCTTTTCTTTCTCAGAGTTGTTATTTTCATTCATATTTTTAATGGGGAACTGGTTATTCTGTATATTTGATTTGGTATCAGTATTCTGGGGGTTATATTGAGTTCCAACACCAGAACCGACGGTTTCAAGTCCAGCATTAGCTTGTATGTTGGTTGAATCGTAGTTAGGTGTTTTTTGGTGGAAATAATTGTTGGTTTTGATATCAGATTCGACACTATCTTGTTTATTTTTCCCCGTATTAATGTACTGGTCTTTTTCAGATGGTTGTAATACACCTGATGGACCGCCAAATCCGCCAGAATAAACAACATCTTTAGCATTTGCTTGAGCATTAGCATTGGCATCAGCGTTGTTGTGGTTCTCATTTAAAACGGGTTTTGAGTTGCAACCAGCAGTACCACAAGGCGAGGTTGGAAATGCAGAAGGGAATGTTGAGGGCATGGTAAATTCATTTGGATTCAGTATTCCTTGTGGCCCTCCAAAACCACCTGTGTATTTTGGTAGCTTTTCCTTTTCGTTTATTGGATTTTGTAAATTATGAGAATTGACAGCAACTTGATGACCAACATTAGTAACAAAAGTGGTTGATGGTGTTGTAAAGGTGGAAACTCCAGTGCTTACATAATTTGGTATTGTATAACCACTACCATGTGTAGGATTGGTGTTTATTACAGGTTTATTCGTGTTCAATCCACTGAATCCTCCTGTGTAGACTGTTTCAGGTGCAGGTTTTATATTCAGGTTTGGTTTGGATGTTGTAAAAAGTTCTGGTTTTAATGCGGCTGTAACAGATCCACTAGGTCCACCAAAACCACCCGTATAGCGAGGCAAGTTAGATTCAGTGGACACTTCATTAGAATGAGGTTTATATGTGTTGGGAGAACCTGGACGAATTGCTGCATCTACAGGTCCTTTTGGCCCTCCAAATCCACCTGTATACTTCGGAAGACTTGATTCAGTGACTAAATTTGGCTTAACTGTGCTTGATATACTTGGAAAAACAACACCATTCAAAGATCCTGTAGGCTTACTTAAACCGCCTAAGTAGGACGGAACCTTATTGTTAGCAACATCATAAAAATTGCCAGTGCCAGTGTGTCCTGGATATTGTGTAGTGGATCCTGCGTTACTTCCAACGACATTGGTATAAGTTGGAGCATTGTGGTTTATTGACGTGAAGTCGCTTGGCTTTACTTTATTAGTCCAACCCGAATTATTTTCATTAGGGAATAAGGAACTGCCACAATTTGGAGTAGTACAAGGGTAAGTATTATATGAAGGTTTTGGAGCTGCACCCGACAAAATACCAAAATTCTGTGTAGGTGTGTTGGATACATGTGAATATTTTGGACTTTTTAGTCCAAAATCAGGAAATTTTTGTGTATTAGACCCACAGCCATTGGATCCACAATTAGATTCGTGTCCCGCAATTGATGGATTACTAGGAAGTGGTTTAGTGGAAGGGTTTACGGGAATATTTTGTTGAAAATTAGGGTTGGTTCCTAAAATGGGAACATTATAACTGCTAGGTTTTCCATTAATGTTATTTGGGGTAGCGTCTGGTTGACAATTATGGGTTGTACATATCGGTCTGAAATTAGGAGTAACTAAATGAGTTGCTGGCTTTTCCGGAGCAAATGACGGGGCGTTGTCCCATTGGAGATAAAGCCAAAAATGTATCACAATTTGGAGCATTACATTTCGGAGAATTCTTTTTCGGTGAAGAGCTTTGAATTGAATTGTCATATTGTGGATTTTTGGGGTTATAAGAGTTAGAGCCGCTTTTTAAGTTTTCATCGACGTTCACTTCAATATCTTCGGAATTGTTTATATTGTCTGTCGCTTCATTTGTGGCTGAAAAGCAGTTTCCTGTCGCACATTTTGGCGCTTTGTCAGTATTTTCACTTTGTATTACACTTCCACTTCCAGCGGCATTAGATAAGAATTTTTCTGGAGATTTTTTACATTGACCTGTCACACATTTTGAGGGCCAAAGCAATTGCCTGATTGACAGGGTGCTATGCTGCCGCTACTAAAATAAGCTGACGATTGCGACGCAGCTTTCGCTTCAGCAGCTGCCTGTGCTTCGCTACTTTCATGTGTAAATGTTATTTGCCCATTAGGAGGTGCGTTAATTGATGATGGTATGCTACTTTCACTGCCTTTACATGTACCAGTATTACACCCAATACCAGATATGCCGTTATTACTGCTAAAACTATAGGAACTTGAGCTTGAACTTGCACTTGCACTGGATGCAGCGTAGCTGGATGACGAAGATTTAGAGAAGCTTCCCGAATATCCAGCACCACTTGGTATACTTAAAGGGATTACTGGTAGCGAACCATAACCTCCGGCGACAGCTTGTGCTTCAGCTGAAAATATTTTGTTTTGAATAAATAATGATATTAGCCCGGATTTTTCTACTAAGCTTTAACTTCTGTTTGTATGCGATCTTTCAAAGTTATATAATATATATAAACGGAGAAGGTCATGTAATAATAAGTATTTAGGTCCGTTATCAACAGTATATAATATTAAATATATAATAATAAAACCTTAAAACACTGAATGCATCATAATGCTGCAACCTTTTAGTATATTTGTAATTTTTATGTCCTTTATCGAAATTTAATAGAGTTAAGTTTAACTTCCCCAATAAATATTATATATATAATAAATATACTAAATACCGGTAAACTATTTAATTACATGGAATAAAAACGGTTTTATACAGCTATCTAAAATTTTCTAATGTCTATGATTGAAGTTCTGCTACAGAAGTTTAATATTCGGATCGAAATAAAATAAATAAACATACAATGAAATAAAAACTAACCTTTTGCTATAGCTCCGGTTTTTGCATAATCATGTGGTGTAGCTGTCACATAGTTTAAAAGAGCAAACACAATTACACACGAGACCGCCATCTCGGTTGAACTTCTCATCCACAATGTTATTGTTTTGGTGATACAGCGTTTATAAAGCTATACATAAATGGACATTCGTGAACTAAGGCACCGTTTACATGACCGTTTGCGACGGCTTCGTTATGTACGACAATGACTAAGTATATAAAACAACGATAAGTAATGCAAAAAGAAATATTATATTCATTAATACCCGTGTAACACGGGCCGTGTTTTTTTGTATTACTATTAGTTTCCTCACAGGTAAATAGTGATTTCTACCGCACCTTTATCATAACCAAGTTCATAAAATAGAAATATCAAGACCAGCCCATTAATATCAGTAAATAAAGTGAGAAATTCGGAAAGTATGTATAGACGGTTATGTGTGTATTTTAAAAGTCACCTTTTAGTCTCACAGTAGGTAAATAATAGTAAAAAATCGTATTATGTCATTTTGATGTAGATATAATTGACTATAAAAAGTAAAATTGTCTTATATTTAAAAAATAATTGTGTAAAATTGTACTATCGTCGCTCTTCTGAATAAGTCCTTAGTTATGAAAACCTGTTAGCGTTCCGCGAATTTTTAAGTATGTGTTTGTGTGGATGACGTCGCCCGGGTACTCTGTTTATTGAGTTAATCTCAAATTGTAATATTTGCATACCAAAATAAGTTTGATACAATTATCCAAATGGTTTTAATCATACTTTTAGACCATTTGTTGGCTTGAATTAAGTGAAATAAATAAGCATTAAAATGTTTTACTTAAAGTTATATAGATATTTTTAGTTTTTATTCATTAAAATATAACTAAATACCCGAGATCATGGTAATCACGGGAACGAGAGATAAAATTCTTATCTCTCTTATGAGGATTTAATGCAGTGAAGTAAACGAAATGGCAGGTTCAAATACTGAACATGTGATCAATTACAAAACAAATCAACTCATGAAAATCTTAAATATAAATATCTTTAATATTTTTTAAGCCTTTGCTTAAATATGTAATAGGTATGAAAAGAAATATTTTTGATGCTTAATTATTTTCAAAGAATTGTTGTCATATTTTATTTAAGTCAGGAACCTTTTTACGACCCGGCTAGGTGTTATCATTTACAACCGGCTTGTATGCAACAAAAGAAGCTTGTTCTGTGCAACATAAAAAGCTTGGAATATGCATGCAAAAAAGAAACATGAAAAATGTTTAATATATGCATAAACGTTATTAAAAAATTAACAAGATATTTTATATATTGAACTGGAGTGAATCTATAAACGATAAATGAACATTAGATGTGACATAACGTATGACATTTCAATTGTTTGATTTCGTAACGAAATTTATTATTAGCTACAAGAACAAAATAAGTTTGTACATAATATTTATTCCATTGAAATACTTATCACAAGATATTGCCGAGATGGGTAATAAGCAGAAAAATGCAAAATTCTACATTAGTATGAATATATGGTAAAACGTGAAACCACATATTGTTAACATCTACAAAGTAGAAACGAGTTGACTTATACCAATATCCGGGCAAAGCGTTGCACTATTCTTACATTCCATTACGTGTAGATCATATAATGTATCCTGATACAAGGATCTGCGTAGACCATTTTATTTTTATTACATTAATTATGATGAATGGGGTAATAAGCTCTTCAAGTTCTAAATCATATGTAATAACAATGATTATCTGTAAACGTTACACGACTCAGCTATATTTACCTACATCAGAGGTCAGAGAATGGCCGATGAATGTATTGGAGATTTAAAATATATCATTGTAAATGTATCTTTAAATTTTATTACAAATAATGTCTAGATTAAGCTTTAAAATTTATCTAATATCGTATAATATAACGTCTTGGGCTACCTAAACAGAGTGATTTGGTATCTATCTACTGTTGCTTTATAAATCTATTAATGTATATAACTGCAAGAAGGAAAGAGTAGGACAAATATATTTTAAATAAAATTGAGAATAAAATAATTTAGAAACGTCCAAACTTTTTCAGCAAAAACGAGGAAGGAAGCTAGACCGAAAAGGGACAAAGAGAGAGCTATAGTTTTCTACATAAGCCTAGCTAATGAGCATTAACGGTTATCTAACACGGTAAATTTATACTCCGTTACAGGAATATACTGTTGATGATAAGAAATTAATATGTATTTAAGTTAAAATCCCACGACTTCCAGGACGAAAGTATTAACTAGATTGAATATTAATTACAAAGTCAAAGATTTTTTTATGGTATAGTCATTAGAAATCAAAATAACATTATAATAAACGTTTAAAATTTTAATATAATAATTTTATTACACAAAGATAAAATAAAAATACTACCTACTGTAAGCAAATATCACTATAATCTAGATTTCTATTGAAAAACTTCATCAACTTACAAATATGAAGATGTGTTTAATATTAATTTTTAGTTTGTTTGATTGCGTAAATCGTATCACCAGAATAAAGATATTAAAAGAAAGAATTACAAAAAAAAAACAATTCTAGCGGCAAACGACACGACTCTAAAAAAATGAGATGATTTTACAACTGAAGACTACTATAATTTTATTTGTAAAATAATAATATCAATTTTAAACTTCAACGATCCATTTCACACCAGGTCGGTAAAATCTTCATTTCGAATTATTTATTTTAATGAAAACATTTATGTTGGTATGATTAACGAGATAAAACTTGTCTTATTTAATATTTATTAATTTAATTCAAAATTTATAACACCTGCAACAAATATTTAATCATAGAACATTATTCGAAGTGAGTTTAGTCATATTCTTGGGCACTTTAAATCATGCCATATACGTACAGATAATAAATTGTGACACATTCATGTTTCAAATATTTAACAACTTAAATCATTCCTTGTAGGCCTATAATAATTTACTCTTATAATATATATAATTGTGAATAAAGGAAACAGAAATTAATTAAGACAACATCCTGTTGCCAGACAAAGCTGCGAGACTTATATCTATATGTAATCTACTTTGTACAGCTAGATGCTCTAACGACTACATAATACTTATTTGGTTCGTATTGATTTATGTAGGCAATAAAATATAATCTAAATTATAAAACTGATGAGACAATTGTCTATAAAAAAAACCTAACACGTAATTATAATTAATATTATGAAAAATGTTATTTACTTGATGCTATGAGGTATTGAAAATTATTATTGGTTTCCCCCACGACATTTTCGGAGAAACCTTCTGAACAAGGTTGATTGTTTCTAGTTAGTAGAAAGGTCTGCACGATTTTGAATAATATTGACGTAATCATATGTACCTATATCTACTATTCTCCTAACAATAACTGTAAAATGATATCTTATTTTGATTAAGAACTTTCCTTAATCCTTATAGATCATTGAATAAATTAGTTTTGTATAATATTCATTTCTGTTCAATATAGTTCCTACTTCGAAACTGATATTTTATGCATTAGATGTTTCTAGACTTGCGTAGGTACTCAAAGGTGGACCGTTAAACGATCTCACTTATACAGTCGTCTGTCAAAACAGGTTTATTTTACAGGCATTCACACTCCGAGTTAAGTTTATCTCCATTCTGTTACAAAAATATCATGCTCTCAACTTGGTATAACCAAAATTTACGGCCACAAAACACGTACTCATACAAGTATAATATTCAACACTTATATAACCTACCAAGAATACTCATCAGTCGTTTTAATTAGGCATTAAAACATAAAATCAACCTTTAAAAAACCTCTGCCAAAAATTATTCAGGTATTTGGTCATTGAGATTCCGAGATGTTTATTTATTTCAATCTGTTTTACACGGTAAAGAACCGAACTTAGGAATATATATAAGACTATAAGTTTGCGGTTATTTGTGAATGAAATTTTAATAGAAACAATAAATTTAGAAGAGAGAAAAAAATATTAATTCTATGTCTCTTGTTATTGTTAAAGTTCTTGGTAGGTATTGGATACTCTAAAAAATTAAATATCTACCAGTAATATATTAGGTATGGGGGTCTTTGTACGATTTTTAAATTAATATATTATACACTTCAGAAATGAATCATACTGTCATTAGTAATTGAATAAAAATAGTATGTTTGTCAAAGAAAATTAATCACAGATTGAAACGTTCTTTTTTTTTAAATGAAAACAAGTCTCTTTATAACGTCAGCAATCTTTAATGTTAAATTTATGCTTTTAAATTACGTAAACCTTATACAAATCGCATTAGATTTTTTATAGTAAAAAACCCGAATACACAAATATAATTTATTGAAACGCAAAATTTCTGAAGTCATTTCAATAATTTGAAGTGTAATGACATTATTTTTTTGAGTAAGTATATATGCAAGTAGTATTCTCATTTAAAGAAATTAGTAATGCAAGAAGATTAGATCATGAAAAAAAAATTGTAAAACTGTATGTAATGTGACGATGCAAACTTGGGGTAAGAATTCAGATTCACTGCAGCAAACCATAGCACAGTGTTTATAAACTATCAGAAATGAGTGACAATACGACACCCAACTAAAATTATAACAATTTTACACGCTTTATCTAACGACGAAATATCTTTTACAAATTTCGAGAATTTTGGTATAAAATTCATATTTTTATAGCAATACATTCTCATTTCAACAAAAGCTTTTTTAACACTTTTATACATTTTTTTCCGTCTTTTATGTCTCGTATTTTGAGATATGACTTTTTTTGTTTGTAAATATATATATACCCTATCCTTATAATAATGCCATAAAAGAATTGATGACAAATATCCAGAATCATAACAAATTTCGTAATAGTAATTATAATATCATTAGTTACTAACTGCTCTCCGCTGTACTACTAGCTTAGTTCCAAATTCTCTTGATTCTAAAGCAAATTAAATCCAATTCAGATCAGTTTTTTATTATTTTGTTGAATAAATTATCCGACTGTAGCCCTAGTCGCTTAATTTACTAAATGTTTTTAAACGGTTTTATAAAACTAACACTTTATTTGACGACTAAGCCTGGGGCATGTTATTTTGGTTCGTATACAGTGTATATACATTCATATTTCATATATATAAATACCTGAATACATTTATTTTCTTCAGAAAAGTATTTGTTATTTTTTTTAAACACAATAATTTTCGTTGTACATATTTTAATGAGTTTTTTTTGTTTCAAAGGTAGATATATCCGTCGAGTGTTCTTAGGTGAAATCGGTTTAGGTATTCAAGGTCATCAGGACAGCAGTTTGCTGTTTGCTTGCAAGCATATGTGGGATCTGACATTTGAAACACTAATGTTTTCTGGAACCAATGAACCGGTTCGTTGTTAGGGCTCGAAGATAGGAAACGTAATCATGGACTGCCTTTTAGTAAACCCATTGAATTTGGACTCGTTGAATTTGTATTGATTGGTTCTCCTAATGTTTCTAATTGCGTGGGGGGTTTTATTAAATTTTTAATTTATGTTATCCTCTTAGGGCGGTTTCAGACTAGCGTTTTATACGCGCGTATGAGCTGGTTTTTGGAAGCGCATGTAGGCGCGTATAGGCGCGCCTTTTGGCACACGCTCAACTCGTACGAGCGTTGACGCGCTTCTAAGCTCGTATAAGCGCGAGCCGCGAGAGACATCTCTCCGTAAAGTGTATTAAAGTGACCGGTTATCAGTCTTGATGCAACTATCGGTGACACCCAGCACTTTTTCCGTCGTCTCAGTCGACGGCGAATAAGTAACGCAAAAAGTAATGTTTCTTCGTCAGAATCCATGTTGATACTGACACAATACCACCGGTTCGAGCGAACACGCCGAAATATGCGCGTTTACGCGCGTCCGGTTTTTTGAAGAGCGTAATGTAGCGCGCGTGTAAGCGCGTATACTGAAACGACCGTATACGCGCTGAAAAAAACGCTAGTCTGAAATCGCCCTTAATGTCAACGAGTTTATTATTTTATAAAATGTTATACTAAAAATGGCTATAATTCAACTAAAAATGCATAAATTGTTAAAATCAATTTAATAATTATCATAAGTATGTGATGTGCGTGCGCGTTTCTTATAAAAAATTCAAACTACTTATTCAAATAGGTAATACATTTATTACAAAACTACCATGTGTTTTTAATCAAAATATTTTCCTTAAGCTTTCACCGATGCAAACTAATAATCTACATTTTTTTTCTCAGTAATTATTAAGTACATTGTTTATTGGAGATCCTTTGGTGTTATATGAACTCGTCGGGTTCCCGCGGCGCGTCCAGGTCGCGATAGTGTATCACTGGACGGAACTCCGCGGCACCGGCCCTTTAACAAGCAACCACAGCTTTGTTAAAGACATACACACGCACATACAAACATACTTCATACAAATTACTTCCACTGAACAATGTGTCATACAACATTGCACCTAAACACCGAACAATATATATATATGAGAACAAAGTAATGCAAACTTAATTAACTGGCGGTGTTTAAGTTCAAGATGTTCATTCGTTTTTTTTTAAATAGTTTAGGTTGAATAGTTTTTCCAATCTCAGCTTCCCGGGATACTTAAGTTTAGTAAGGGGTAAGGTAAGAAATAATTGTCATAGTACTCTCTATTGGACTTTATTGAAGTTCACTTAAATTAAAACAAATATATTGGGTTTCAATGCTTGACATTTGAAGCTTCGATCACATAAAAAGGTTGTATATGAAAAAATATAATATACATTTCATAGTATTATAGTCTGCAAATAATGTTTTTTTTATTAAAAAATATATTTAATAATATGTAATAATACTTTAGTTTGTTTCAATATTGTCACATCATTATGTGATCGTAGAATCAGAACTCAATAACTATTATTTTTTTTAAATTTAATATAGGCAGGTAACAATTTAGTTTAAATGATTTACATTATCATACATAAAATACTCGACCTTCTTTATGGATTTATGTATGAAACACTCAGATGTTATACACCGACGACAAAATTGCCTCACAATAAACATATTCATAAACTCTGTACGAACATAGCATACGAAAAGAGTATGTTATGTACTTAGAATATGTCACCACTATCCGGGAAGTCGAGATCGTTGTAAGCAATAATTGGCCGGGACCTGTCCACGTTTTCCCTGGAAATCACATTCCTCGATCTCAAACACTATGAACATGTTACAATACAAAGCATTAATAATTCACAAACAATGCATCTAATAGCAAATGTTAAGGTCATGCGATAATATATAAGAATATTCTTAGAAGCGGATCACGATGCCGAGGGCGTTACTATTATAGACATCACATACGACAAAAAGTTACCTCACAATAATAGGTATAGGTATGTCATGTTTTATGACATCCTTTTCACATTATAATTTTAAATGTATATCATATTAGCAGGTAATACATAAATTCTATAGCGATATATCGATTCATAATTGTTAATGAATATTTATTGACCAATACGAGCATTTAAAAATAGATTGAATATGATGAGATCGTAATTGTGATAATAAATATGTCTTTTAGTGTTGTTTTTTTTTTTTATTATGATATTAAACTATACCATCATTCCTAATGAATATTTAAATAGTACAAAAAAAGTAAACATTTTTGATATTGATGTTGTGGATTTAATTTTGTGTGTGTGCGGGTATGTGTTTATGAGCGTATATGTCTGTGTGTGTGCGCGTTTATGTGTGCGTGTGAATTCCACATGTGTGTGTGTTGTTGTTGTATCACCTAAACTGAACATTATTCGATGTGTGTATGTTAGTATATTACCTGGGTCTCGAGAACCGCGGGTGTCTAGGCATGTAAGGCGCGGGAGGCGCCCAGCCGCCCCAACCCCAACCGCGAGCCCCGCCTGCACCACCAGCTCCACTATACCTGAACAAGCAATTCCAGGTGTAATGATATGTTTAGATATACCACATACGTAAAAAACTGTATTAAATTACGTTTCATTGTCTTTTACAAGTAAAAAAAACCCTTCATCAAACTTTCACATCTATATTACTCATGTGTTAGCGACTAAGCGATAGCGAATATCTTGTAACTTCTATATGTACATGTTTTATGTCTTTTGTATATAATCTTTGACTTCATTTCCAGTCACCAGTGGTATGATTCAGTTTATATAGAAGGATCTTATTTATATATTAATATATATGTATAGTTACGGATGTGCGGGCGGCGCGTGTACGGGTTGTGGCGCGGCGCGGGCCGGTTGCTCGGGTTGTTGGGGACGTCTCACGTCTTTAACGTACGCGTTGAAATAAGACACCTCGCGACGAACCTCATCCACCTAGATAAAGACAATATTATTATAGTTAGCATTATATAATTGAACACTATATTTGATATCGACGTATTAAAAGTAAATTTAGTATTAATTTTATATGAGTTATCTAAAAGTGTCAATACAGATTTAAATGTTATTCAAGTACTTGTTCTATATTAAGGTAATTTCACCTTTTCAGCGTGTTTATTGAAGATGTGTTTTCTAATGAAATCAGGTCCTTTGAACTTTTTACCGCTGAGTGGACACAACCATTTGTCTTGGGACAGCTCTTGAGTGTTCGCTTGAATGAACTTTTCTACTTCTGCTTCAGAGTCCTTGAACAACAAATTTCATGTTGTATTTAAATGTACAATATATTTAATATTTATTAATCTATACTAATATTATAAAGCTGAAGAGTTTGTTTGTTTGTTTGAAAGCGCTAATCTCCGAAACTACTGGTTCGAATTGAATAATTCTTTTTGTGTTGGATAGTCCAGTTATCGAGGAAGGCTGTGAGCTATATAACATCACGCTACGACCAATAGGAGCAAAGATATAGTGGTAAATGTGTAAAAAACGGGAGAAATTATTTCATCTTTGAAGCCTTCCGTTGCGTGCGCCGTGAAAACGGTTCAAGATACACAAAAAATATGTATTAAAGAATAATAGCTCTTTTAATGATCTAAAAAACAATCCGCGACAGTATATGTCTATCTTTTAAGATTAACTCACAGAAACCGTTTTTATGGTACCTAATTTGGTCGAAATAATTTGTTTAAGTTGTATCAACATAATAATATTAATCTTTATTCAAATAAACAAATAAATATGTTGTTGGTTAAGAGTATGTACTTCATTGTGAATAAAAAAAAACATAGGTTTTATCCTGAAAATTCTACGGGAACTCGACCATTCCGAAAAGCCCGCAAGAACGGGAGCTATGTGGGAAGAACCAAAAATCTGCCGGAAGTCACTATTCCACGCGGACGAAGTTGCGGCAAAAGCTAGTGTTATATAATCACCTTAATTCCTAGTTTCTGAAGCTCTTCGTCTGTCAACGGTTTGACATCTTGCAGGAAAGCTGACATTTTACCTTCGAAAGTTTTAATGTAATCTTGAATCTCCTGCTGAGTGGGCTGTAATAAAAAACAAAACATTAAGATTTTCAGTTAATAGAAATATTATTAAATGCTATTATTTCCTTATGATGTATGTTTACCTTGTTGGGAGGAGGTCCGGAGCGCGCGTGCATAATCCCACAACGGTTTGGCATTTCATCCTCGTATGGATATTCACAATGATTGTAATAGTCCACAGAGTGTACAATACGAAGGTACAACACTAGGCGGTCCAACACTTTAACGAGTTCCGGATCCGGTTGTTCCTGCGCAGCGGTCTCCGACGACGCCTCTAGGCCTAACAACTCTTCTTCCTCCGTTGAAGCCTCTTCTATAAGATGTTCCGTTATCTTATGTAGCACCGGGTTTTTGGAGCTCAGGCTGAAGTTCTGTAAAAATATATTTATTTGTCTTTTACTCATCTTAGATGGATTTTTAGTTGTATCTTGATTCATAATCATAACATTGTGTTTTGTTTGTGAATGTAAAAACAACCAACATTAAAGAAAATGACTGTTTGAGTTACACTGCTAAAATGTTTACTCAGAAAAATAATAGTAATGAAAATAGAAGTCATATCTGTAAATCAAATAGGTTATTTTAATGTCCTCATGATCATATCATCACCTCAGTCTGCGGTCCATCTTCGCCGGGTCCGTCCCACAGTTTAGACCGAGTGTCCAGATGGTGAGCGAGTCTCGCCGCTAGTCTAGCGTCAGCCCGCAGCACCGCTCGCTCCAGAGTAACTCCGGAGACAGCTCGGATACGACGCTGAAGGTCGCGGTTTACTATCGCACCCAACTCACACTCACGAAGCTGAGGAAGCATATATCATACATTAGTTTATTTAAGAAAAGCTTATTGACGTGTACACAATAATAATAGATACCTATATTTTGAACTCTATCATTTGTGCCTTTTACTTCGATAATTATTAGTATAGAAGAAAATTATTATATTTTAGTTTTTTATTTCAAATTCAACTGCTACTAATTATTTTATAGTGTGAAAATCCTGACTGAATATTGACCACAACAATAGTATTTTATATAGTATGGAATTATAAATCTCACCCTTATATTATTTAGGTTCCAGCAGATGTCCTTTATGTTGACCTCTCGTCGGAATGTGACCCAGCCTCTACGGAACCATCGTCTTTCAGGCAAAGGATCTGCGAGCGCCACGCGAAGGAAACCCCCGTAACGTTTACACATCTGAAAGACATCATATATTACCTGTTAGTAATCAATGGAATCAATCTGAGACAAAATTAAATCATTAAAAAGTCGAATGTACACTTACAGCTTCTACTTCAGCCTTCGTGATTGTTGGAGCTAGATTTCTCAAGAAAATGGAAGTTGTTTTATGAAGAGCTCTGGGACTCTTTCTTCTCCGTCACATCAATGGAAGTTTCATTGTTATCATTGTTCGTTTCCTTGTCTTTTATTTCGACGACTTTTTCCGCGCTCGGAGACGCAGTCCGTTCTTTTTGTTTGGGCGATTTGTCAGGAGTTTTGGATTTGGACTTTGATTTAGATTTTCTGCGCGTACCAGATTCGCCTTCGTCTTCCGAACTTGATGACGAAGAACTCGATGATGATGAGCTCGATGAAGAACCTGGCGGGGCTGTGTGAGGAAAATTATTAATACAATGTATCTTTAAAACTATATATGTACAAAAAAAAGATTATCGTTGCATTACTACTAATTAGTAGTATGAATGCTTACGAGGTTCTTTCTCGGGTACAACTTGTTCAGACTCTGTTCCACGCTGTTGTAACGAGAGAAAAGTTTGGCCTGTTCTTGTAGTTGACGGAGGTGAGGATCAATCTCCATCGTCAGTTTGGCCTTTTGGAGAATTTCTTTTACGCATGACGGAGGTGAGGCTAAAACTCGAGAACAGCTGAACCGATTTGGCTATCTTGAAATACTCCTGGATCGTCAAAGGTGCGGTGGATTTTACAGAATCTTTTGACTTCTTTTCCAACTACGAACATGCCAATCATTCTGTTCGATTGATAATGTTTAAAAATACCAATCTAAATAGCAATAGTAATATAAGCGATTAATATAAAAACTTTTTATAGAAATTGATAAGAAAAGTATATTATACCTCAGTTGAATTAATCTTATCCTTAGACTGGTCAGTGTCTTTTTCATCCTTTATTTCTTTGACTGTATCATCTTCAATCACAATTGCCTTATTCGTGTCATTCTTGTCTAAAATATTGTATTGAGATAAAATATATGAGTATAAAACTGAATTTCAATAGTTAAAGAAATTTTACAATATTATTCACCTGGCTTGTCATTTGTATTTTCAGCTGGGTTAGGTTCGTCAAGAGCTTTAAGATCTTCCTCTGTTCCACCTTCTAATTTAATAACAACAGTATCAAGTAAACGTATCAATTTGTCCGATTTGTCAACATCTACTGATACTTTGTCTAATTCGCCTTGTTCCAGGAGTTCAAGAAATACATTAAGTCGGTTCTATAAAATATGATAGAATATGAAGTATACTGTTTTATATTTGTATAATTATGTTTTTAACATTAGGTCAATGTTGGCAATAACTTGAATTAAAATTCAGGTAGAAATAGGTAAATACGCCTTGGCATGTAACATTGGCTTAATTTGTAAAGCAATCGGAATGTGATATTCCTGAAGTCATAAGTCGGTATAATGTTATTTTCTACTTGACTTTTAATTCAATTATGTACTTGTCAGTATTTTCCATACTTTGAGTGCTGCTAGTTGCTCTTCTTTACGTTTCACTGATTCCTCTGGATGGTATTTTATCTTGAACCTAGATGACAAACAAATGGTAAAGTTTGAAATGTATTCCAATTATTATTATTCACTACCAACAAATTGTATATGCATAAAGGTTGTTTTGGAAAACAGGTTTCCCTTGATGTATACCTAGTGGGAGACAAAATAAAATAAAAGCATGTTTCAATTAAACATGAAAGTGACAATGTATGGACCATATTACCTGACAAAAAATAAAAACATCAGTTTTACACAAACTAAAATGTCTTATGTATATATTTAAAAAATCTGCAGTCTCACCTGTTCCACATTTGTGGAAAAACATAACCCTACCCCTAACAATAACGAAACCTGTAGCATTGCGCGCTACAGGTCAACGCGATTAAACTAGCTACACACAGCATTTAATTTGCAAAAAGTTTTGGAAAGTTTTCTCAACGACGTCCGGCAAATCCATGTGAATATGCTGTAGACTGTAGGGAAAAAAGTATACAGTTAAAATTTGCTTATTTAAAAGATTCTAGACATAGCATGGTTACTTAATATATTAATTGTTTTACAAAATTATAAAATAATTCTCATTTCTTCAGATATGTCATAGAATCTTTTAATTAGAGGCAAATTAACAAAACAGAAGTTACACTGAACTGACTGACTGAACTATCAAGTCACTGGAGTTATTTAAATGGTAAAGTCATTTTTGATTCATATTTTTCTGGTTCTCATAGGGAATTGAATCTATATCTTTTGTAATATATATATTTAAATAGATTTGCTTACCATTCCTCATCTTTGTGTGCTACAAAAAATTCATTTAATTGCTGCCTCCTAAATTCAAGTTTGTATTCATTATACTTCTGTATAGCATCATCAACGGTGATGGCATCGTCTTGAGCGGCCAGGAAAGCCTTGAATGACATCATTGAAGGAGGCCCATCCGTTGGTCCCATTGGCAGAACAGCATCTCTAACACAATAACTTTTTTAAGCATAAAAGACTATAGAATCAATACATTTTATAGGGAGACAAAGTACAACAAATTGAAAGTTAATTTTGGTAATAATATCAAAAATTTGTGCATGTACTCATTTAAATGAAAACTAAGTTTTCATATAGCATGTTTTAAATTATTTTTATCCATATAATCCCAACCTTTCTCTTCCTTTCTAGCAACCACAATTAGGTTTAAACAAGACGAAAATTTCAGTTAGATGATTTCATTGCTTTAGTATATATTTAGTAATAAATATGTATGATAGAAGTTTTATTTAAAGTTAAACTAACCTGGCTGGTACAGGAGGCATTGGTTGTCCATATCCTTGATGAGCAGGATGAGGTCCAAAGTGGTCATGAGCCCAGCCATATGAGCCGTATGAGTCATGAGGCATACCACCATATCTTCTATCATCAACGGGCCAGTCTGGTCTGATTCGTTTACTAGGAGGTCCTTCACCTCTAACTGGTGAGTACCCACGACTTGCACTTGCTCCACCTCTGTAATCTCTGTAGTCAGGTCCTGATCTACCTCCACGAGACCTGTATAACATTAATGTCTCAACCAGATTTCTTTCAAATATATCATTGTTTCAATAGCACAGGAATGTTACTTATACAAGTAAAGCCTGTACAATGACACTAGTATCAAATTACTACAAATAAAAACAATACTAACTACTTAAAACTAAATACTACAATGTTTTTTCAAATTCACATAACTTTTTAATATGTTGTATTTTGTATTTGTTGAAGTATAACGTGTACCTTACAACTAGAGCATTGGAACCTCTTTTCAGACTTTTAGTGACGTTTTGAGTTTTAGAAGAATCAAGGATTTGGGAGTGGGATCTGTAACACGACGCATTCTCATACATGACTTATGTTTTTGGAATAGTGGTATAAGGAATAATTATTATGATATACCCACCTTTCTGACCATTCCTCTCTACCACGGCCTCGTTCCTCTCGTCTATCGCTGTTTCGATAACTGCTGCCTTCTGCTGCTCCTCTTTCACCGCGGAATTTATCGCGTCTTTTGCGGTCATACTCATCGTCACTATCAGCCATGGTGATATCAGTATAAACTTATAAGTTTAAGAGTGCGCGACTGCTTCTAATTTATCTATATATAATTAAATTTGTGACTTAAAAATTAACATCACCCGATTCTTTGAGCATTACAATTACATCCATACCCATTTGGCTGTTGGCATCTTATTTGACAGACGATACGAAGAGAAATAAAACGGAAATACGTCTAAATTTATTCAGTATAGTCTATGAGTTGTAATCTATAACTTGTCTATGAAAATATATATCTCTTTAAACACTATCATTATACAATATTTTTAAAAACACAGCAAGAAAATATTTTTTAGTTAAACATTTTTTTCACTTAAAATGTCTCTATCGTACCAGTATAGAATGTTAAACATATTCCTACTGCTTTATCTTTTGATGCTGTGGCCAAACAGTATTGTTAGAAATATATTAAATTAGAATAATATTGGGTTGCAATATAACTTAATAATATAATTTTCTATAAAAAATTTCAATATTGACCTATAAAATGTTTTACACAAACAAAAGGAATATACATAGATAACGTTTGACGGGAAGTATCCATTTTTATATTTCAATAACGTAAGATACAGCTAAAAAGCAACTATTAAATGTGCAAATTAATATTTCACAACAATTTGATTAAATATCGCTGTAATAATTTAATAGAATTCGTACTACTCACGCTTTATACTAATTTCAAAAATTGTCGTTTGTAATATTATATATTTTATAGTTCCTGCATTACAAATTTCACGTCGCTAATGCAGAAAAAACATTGGCAGCTTTTTAGTCATGTAATTCATTTAAATCAAAAAATTTCGCCTTGTGGTCCACCTTTCGTCCATTAAAGATCGAAAAAGACTCTCAATTGAAGAGAGATTACTTATTTTTATTTAAGTCGCTTAGTACCTAATTTTTTAATTATGACTGTATGTACCTAATCTTCTTGTGACCTCGATGTCCTCTGAATACTTATTTGTAAAAATTCCTATTTATATTATTAAAACCAGAAACAAGTATCATGATAAATAATTTATTTACATATTTACTGCCCATTAATTTTGTTCATTAAACAAATTCAACATTCATTCATTCAAAGCCATTTTACATAATTTTTTATCTAGTCAAGAAAATTGGGGTATAATGTTTTGTAAAAAATATTTTAATGTTTAGTTATTTTAAAAAATAGCTTTTTTTATATTTTTTACTTTTTAAGAAGTAAAATAGAATACCTATTCGATTCCGTTTCATATAAATTGTATAGTATCGGAAACTTTTTGAATGAAAAAAAAAAGAGATTATGTGAACTAGATATATATTTCATTTAAAAATATTGGAATATCTGTAATAAATTTTCTTATCTCTAATTACTAACTTGGGGACTATAGTTTCTAGTCTGTTTTTTAATTTTTATCAGAACTTATGACCTTTATGAGGGACCATGTAAATCGTAATCAACTAATGAGATCGTAATCAACTAAATAAAAAATATATCTCAAAGTAAGTTATTTTAACATATTATTTTTTAATATATCATGGATGCACTAACTTATACTGACCACGGAAAACATTAAAATACTAGCTCTACCTCCCCGAACCAGTAATACGGGCTATATGGTTAAAAACCATTGCAGCAACAAATAGTGACTAGATGCAAAGAGACAATTATTTTTTTTATTAATATTTTTTTATTTATAAGTACGTAACGTTTTGTAAGAGACACCCCCTCCCGCCCTGTAGTACCTACTCGTAACGTCTATGGCCATAACCCCCCCCCCCCCTAAGTTAAATAAATTCTGTATTTAAATTATTTGTGGATTATGTGGATGAGAATTTTGTTGCTTTACCGAGATTGTTTGGCTAAAAACAATTTAAGGCTGGATAAAGTCGAAAGGAACGTACCTACCTATAACTTCAAATATCACCAATATGCTTACTCCAAGTTTTAATCGTACATTTTGGCGAACATTTTGGTATTAATAAAACTTTACACAGAATAATATTAACTTAAGTAGGTAACTGAACGAACAATATTTTAGGCGTACCTATATAGTATTTTTTGTTTAAAATGTTACCGCTTATTATGGTGGCTAATTGCATGTTGATTACCCAATATACTGATAATTGTAAATTGTTATATGGAGTGAGATAATGAAGGAATTTGTAAAAATTTAGTTTCTCAATAAATATAAATGCTTATATTTTTATCGGTCTATATGACCAAATTATCAAGATATATTTGAAAATATATAAAAATACCATCAAATCTGTTTCTACCTAGTCCACTGAAATTCTATTAGAGCAATAGACTTTTTTGAATTCAAACCTAAAACAATATGGATCGATTTTTATATTTTTTTAATTAATATAATATAATTACATCTGCTCCAAATAGAGATATAATCACAAATTTAATTATATATAGAAGAACAATCTTCACTCTAATAGATATAGATAGAAAGGAGTTTTTTTTTTAAGTTATATCTTGAAAACCGATTAACAAAATTAAAATTAAAATAAAGTAGATGTACTACACAGTACCTACACAGGTATGTTTGAAAAAAATAATTTATTTATATTTGTATTACGCATATAGGAGAGACAGAGGATAGAAAGAGATGGTTGGTAAAAATATGATTTATCTGACCAAAATTGATTTCTGTCAAACTGCTCTTAACAAGGAACTTGATTGACACTCAAAAAGAAGGAATGTTTTTCAAGCAGAAAGAACAGAAAAAATGTTGATTATTACATAGTTTGATGATTTCAATAAAGCACAAATAAATAAATATTTGTTTAATAGGAAGATAAGGTGCCAACATTTTAAATATAACAATGATTTAATAAATATGCAAACATTAATTTGTAATTCAGCTCTCCGTCACCAGCTATTAAATATAGAAAATATTACTGATATTACAAAACCAACATTTCAGCGATAGAATATAAATGCCGTCATTTCAGAGGTATTAACTTCCACTCAATCACACGACTTCACTCATATCAAGAGCATTGTGATTCGTCTGAATTATCACCACAATCATTTTGTCCGTCGCACACAGCACTGCGTGGAACACAACGATGGTTTCGGCATTGGACCTCATGTGTACCACAAGCCCCTCCGCATCCTTGCGGCTCATCGCTCCCATCAGCACAATCGGCTAGACCGTCGCAAAATCTTGAAGAAATTATACATTGACCATCATTGCAAGTGAATTGATCTTCCGGACATTCTGAAATTGTATTTGCATTATCATTATCTAATCCATTCGTAATTATTAATCTAATTACAAATTCTTCTCCATTTTTTTTTGAAGATGAAAATTATTCTTTTCGGCCTTTAACTAACTGTGAAAGCCATTACCATGGGAAAGTTAAACTATTAAGTATTATGTAGCTATTGTCAAATGTATATGGTTAATGACTTTTAATATTTCTATACAAACTGTATTGTATAAAGATACTTTAATTCACAATAACTCAGTACTGTAATGCATTTTCGTATACATATAAGACCTTCGAAGTCTTAATGATCCCGTTACCTCTGTATGAGTATATTCATAACCTAGTTTCATGGACCGAACGGTATAAATGCCATTTACATTTAACATGAATCTAAAGTTTTGGGTCAAAAGGTTACGCGTTTTTGGGCGATTTATATAAAAAAGATTTTTTTTTAATTTGCTTACTTTATTTTCTGATAATTTTAAATAAGAAAGATCATACCCACCTAAAGTGCAATTAACTTCATCGTATCCATCCCAACAATCAATAAAACCGTCGCATTTCTTTTTGTTGGGAAAACAAGATATTGAATTACCACATCGGAATTGCTTTTTTAAATCACATTCTGAAAATATATGCAACCACAAAAATGTATTCTTAGCTTAAATAAATATAATAAGTATCAATTGTGCTATTATCATCACATACCGCAATGCATTTCATCGGAGCGATCGTAGCATTGTATGAAACCATCACATCTTGCTGCAGATGGGACACAGAATCCGTCTCGGCATCGCCAATCATGAGGCGAGCACTTGATTTGGGTTAACAGTTTACAAATACGCACACCCCTTGACTTATCCACGAGCTGACAAGCTTCTGTTTCTAATGCGCAGAGTCCTCCGCAACCTTTTAAAAGAAGCTATGATTATGAAATTTTAATGAAAAGAATATATTTCTCATTATTGTAATTATAACAACTTACCAGTAGGATCCTCTAAATCTATGGCAACTTGGCATATAGACGTTCCACTTTTCTCATCTAACATGCATACTTCATTTGTTTGGCACGAGCAAAAATCAGCTGACAGATCTCTGTTTACAATATCTTTTGTTTCTTCGGTTTTTTTCCCCACCCTGGGGTAAGTCTTTATGTTTTTTCTTATTTTTGATATGATATTCAAAAGATCGTTACTTTTATTACGATAATCTATAGAATCTTCGGTCGTTGTTTCATATGTAACGTTTATTTTATTTACACTAGGAAATAATGCCTCCGGATATATACTCACAACGGCTGAAGTAGTTTCATTAAAATATATGTCTTCTATTGGCACAAAACTTGCACTTGTTTCATTAGTTGCGTGTATAAAACTAGGAGTTGTAAAATTTACTAATATTAAACTAATGAGTACTATCGCTACAATCATTAATCCTATTGAGCATGCTTGCATTTTTGTTCGTTTCTTCTTTGGGCTGTCATTTAATGAAAAATTGACTACACAGCCGATGCCTTTAAATCTTTTTCTCAGTCTTCTTTGGGAAACATTGATTGGCTGCACATACTCTGTACTTGTAAACTTACTGCGGACATTCCCATCGACATGTTGTGATATCGTTGGTATATTTTGGGCTAGTTGAACATTACTAAAGTTAATATCATTAATAGAAGTTTTTCTTCTACACGAGTTATTCGGGCTGCAAATATTTTCAGGGCAACTCTCAATTGTACTTTTCGATGCTTCTAATTTCGTTGCTGTGTTCATTAAATTTAATTTTGGAGTGGAATGATTATTAGGTAAAAAATTTGTTTTTAATGGCGTGACCCCATAGTTTCTTATTTTCCCTCTGCACGTGTAGCAGTAGGTTTTGGTTTTGTGCTCCTTACAAGGTGCATTAACAATAGCATCTCTTAATCTACTATCCGTCCAAATAGTTGATCCATATAAAGTATTCCAATTAGAAGATTCGTTGTTGATGCAATCAGAATTTAAAAAGTTATCGTTGGAGTGCGTAACTAAGCTCATGTTTTTCTTCACGGTCTGCGAGCCTACTATATCATTTTATATAGGTATCTGTAATAAATTATAGTATTTAAATAAAAGATGTATTGTCTGTCTTATTTGAACCCTAAATTCAATATTTAAAGGTAAACGACCCTCATCGCGTGCACGCTTAATTTAAATATCGTGTTAGTAACGTGATCTTACTTGTTTCAATTAAAAGGTCCTTATTTTATACTATACTGCTTCAGGGTCAAGTAATAATTCAACCCTAATTAACTTAAATAAATGAAATAATGACCAAAGTATTATAAAATTAAATAGGATAAACGAAACGATAATCGTATTAATAATCTGCATTGTGAGTTATTATTTTAAACAATAATGATTTTAAAATTAAAAATATTAGAGGATATATTATACACAGGTATATATGAAAAAAAAATAAGTTTGTTAAATATTTTTTTTGAAAACTACGATTTATTTGTATTTACTGATATATCACATAAAAGTAGAGGACAATTAAAACTTATCGTAATTTATTTATTATATATTGATTGTTGCTATTTACTTCATTGAAAGAAATATATTTTGCGAATGAAAACTTTAGGTTTTAATTTTACAATGGTAACTTATTGTGGACATTCATTAACGGCTCTTTAGCGGGTTATTTAAATTGCACTAACTAGTTATGTTGCACAAATCGAACAATTTTCTTGTCTAATTATGAATGAAATAAATAACTAACACCGTTATTTCAATTACACGGTCAATGTTTTATTATTTTTATTTATAATATTATGTGGTATGTATATGAATACCTTACATAATTACAATACTTCAGTAACGACAATGAAAAAAAAGAAATAACTTGGCATTATATTTCGTATTTCTGTCAAAATTCAATTTCAAATTGGAGGTATAATAAAAAGTTCGCAAATAGCGAATAAAAAATATTATCGACCTATTTGTCGTTTACAAAGTTATAAAAGTTATATACATCTCTATAGACATAGTAATAACTAATACATTAATGTAAAAATATGTTATATGCATTTAATACAAATATGTATTACTCTCTATAGACATAGGGATACATTAAAGTAAAAATATTTTATATGTTACCTGTAATACAAATACGTATTACTGATAAATAATATTTTAAGGAGTTCATATATATTTTTAATTTAGATGTGTATGCACTATTATTCTATTTATAAGAATATTTTCGCTTCTATACTATTTAATGGTAAGCCCTAATGATGAACTGACATATATCCTACATTTTTTTTCCATAATAACGCATTTATTAAAACTATAGTATCTAAGACCTGGAAACTTTAAAAATTGGATATTTTAAATATATTTGTAAAAAAATTGAAGGAAGTTTGATATAACAAAATTTATTTGAATTAAAGCAAATGTCATCGTTATGACAACAATTTGTTAACGTTTGCTTGAAATAATACGAAAGTTATAAAGGGGTAGCTTTACACCAAAAAGTAAAACATAATAAAACAATATAGGTATATATATAAAAATTAATACTGTTATATAATCTACACAGAGGCTTATATGTGACTGTTATGTAATATTCATTAAATTTTAATGAAGTTACAGTTTAACAGTATTTAAAAGTTTTTAAAATTTTTAAGTATTTTTATTTTAAACATAGATAACTTTAATTTTTGACGTTGTTTTTTTTAGTTTAAGAAAAAATAGAAAAAACAGAAAAAAAAAATAAAGTTCAATGAAAATATAATACAAAGACTTACGGTTTTGTAGTAGAAATATATTATTCTTGCAATGCACTACATTGATCTTAGCTTAAATTCTTGTTAAACCGTAATGTCAAGAGGAAGCCTTTGACACGTCTGGGAGTTGAGCGTTTACACTCGTGTTCCATGTATTGGACTACCGTTGCCGTTGACAACGTCTAAACAACTCTACTAACAGTAACCATAAAGAAAGGGATAAATATATACATATAACATAAAACAGAGAGGGACATAAATAGGGTCAAATGACGCATGGTGCACGAAAACTTCCCATGTTCAGCGAAGAGTAACAGTCAGCTTGCAACTGAATGGACATCTGTTATCTTCGCAACCCCTATGTTAATGGGATACCCTACGCCTATAGACATACAAAATGTATATCGATAAAAGTTCTACTGAGTTGTCTTAAGATGTGTGATATTTAATATAATATTTCTTATATATTTGCTTAAAGGTTATTCGTTGTAAAAGTCAAATCAGTCAATGACATGGCAACAGTAATTGCTGATAAGTTCTGTGTTTTATTTCATCATTTAGAAACTGAGATTATTCCTCTAGACTAGAGAACAAAATTATTTGGATAAGTAATAATATATTCATTCATTCTTTTCATATGTTCAATTTTAAATGAAAAGAAAACTTAAATGAAAACAGCTTAATTTATTTAATTCATTCAGTGTTAAGTAAACAGAATTTTATTATCTAGATCATAATAGAAAAAAATTAACCAAGCAATTAAACGTAATCTCATTAAGGACATCTGTCTACACTCATCATAAGTTAGTAGTAATTAATTAATTAATAATCTTTTAAAATTAAAGTAACGCCTTACTTTAGTTATTAATTAGGTACGCCTTATTTTGAACATTCATTGATCTTTTGAAAAATTATGTTTATATATTAAGTACTGACATAAATCATTTCTTATTTTAATATATTATGAATCAACTTTCTTAATGTATAGGGACGTATCTGTCTAATAGAATAAATAGTTTAATATTTATCATATACTCTTCTATTATTAAAACTATTATAATGCACCATTTCCCGCCCGCTCGTATATTTCTTTTATACAGACCTCATAATTGAATCAAATTTTAATTGGATTCAGTGCGGCAAAGTCTCTATAGTAATTAAAAGAATGCTCACATATATTTTTGTTTGTGGATTACTATGTGTATAGTTTCTATGTGGCGTGCGTTGTTCTCGGATGTCTGGCAGTGGTAGGGCGCCGTGGTTGTACAGGTGCATGTTGTACGTGCATCTTGAGGATGCAGTCGCGGTCTTCATCGCTGTAATGCGACTGCCTTGTATCAGACACGCAACGTCGCAGCCATCCCAGCCACAACTCTCACTGCGCGCGCCGCGTGCGGTTGTTGACGGTCGTTTGGGAAATCAGTGTTCTGGCTAACAGCCACAGCTCCGCTCGCGCATACATACGTTAAACGCGCAATTTCTCTTATTAATTTAGTAGGTATGTGAATGCGAAATACGTTAGTTTTGCACGAAAACTAGTGACATGTTATTGTTGTTGGAATATTAACTGAAGCGCCTACTTTTCTTCGTTCTTGAACAGACTTCATGAGCATATAGTTGCTTATATTTGTAAAAGGTAAGAAAACAATTAATCAAATAAAAAATTTCGCGAATTTTTGAAAAATTAAAATAAAACATTTTGTTTTAGTTTAACTGATAAATGTTTAGAATATTTATCGCCTAAAAATGTGGTCTACATGATAAAATGAGTAAAGGAAACTACAATGCATGTATTTTCTAATAGTGCAATTATAGCACAGATTTTTTTTACAATTATAATAAAACTTACACGGTTCATACTGGCATAATAGGTATAGGTATAGTAATTAACTTTTTATTTACATTATAATATAAATAATTGACCTTAGAAAAAAGCGGGGAAATTTGAATAAATGACAACAACTTTTAAAGTTCCCTTGCGTTTTGTTTTAAAAAAAAATTCAATACTTTTATATAACACAATTTCATTAAATTTGATACTTCCTCTGTAATGTCATCGTAATGTGAGTACTGAGTAGGCCAACGGAATTATGGCCTACTTCCTATACTTATTTAAACGACATCTAGTAACCAAGTGAATGTTTCCGTGTCACTAGCCGATCGCGATTTTTGTCTACGTCGAAATAACTTAAATTATAAACCTGATCAACCGGAATGCCAATTGGCGTTTGTAAAACAACCCTTTAGAACGAGTAAACAAGTTGTAAAGCTATGAGAATATACCTATTGAGCTGTTGTTACTTGTATTTACAGTTATGATTTGTTAACCAATTCAAGTTTTGTTTGGTATTGAAGTTAGGCTGATAAAATATAAATGTGGTTGTATATTTAATTCAGTATAAAAATCGATAAATAGAAAAAACTAAATTGTCAGCGTCTTATTGAATTTTCAGACATAGAAAAACAAAAGTAAGCAAATAAATTCCCTTGTAATAGTGTTGCGCAAAAACATGTTACTCAGTTTAAATTTTTATGTTGTTGGCGTAAATATCATACCATTATGCAGTAGCAATCCACTATCATTCCATGGTGTCATTATTTTTTATCTCTGTTATCAAGGAATTGGAACATTTGAATGAAATAAAGGCCAAATCTCCAATTATCTATAACAATGAGGGTTAATAGAAAAAATGTGTCCGATAACATTCATTATGCTTGCAAAAATACTTACGATTAGATTGTTTAATTATATACACTTTTTTATATTTTGTTCAGATTTATATTCATGCTAAAAATATACTTTTTTTAATTTTTCTATGGAATTGTTTTTTTTAAAACGCCTCATACCTTATATGATTTTACAAGTTTTATTGGTTATCTTTAACTTAAAAAATTACATACTGGCGGGTAAAAAAAAGTGATCAACTTAAAAAATGATTAAAAGATGCTGGCAAAAAAGAAAAATGTAAAGAAAAAAATAAATAAAGTTAATCAGGGAAAATTATGAATAATGATTAAAATAATGCCGCGTAATTGAATTCAATAAGTGCCAGTAACAAAGTAACTACAGCCCGTGAATGCGTACGCTTCTATAAACAGATTTCACTTTTTTGCTAATGTGAAGATACAACACATGTAGTGAGGTTTTAAGAGTGAACTCTCTACAACCAGCTGAGAAATCAAGCGTGTTGTAAAAATACATCTCTAACACTTTTCTGTTATTGTTTATTTGTAAACATTATCAGAATTATGAAACCATGTTGAATATTT